ATATTAGTAAATATATATCGGAGATTCTATTTGACATAATCGAAAGTTCAAGCTTACTTTTATAAAATTGCTCTAACAATCTGCAAAAAATAATAAGCCGGATCCAATTCGAAGATTAAGGAACAAAGCAATCTGCAACATCAACTGAAAAATAGGTAATTAGATGGTTTTAGCTTAGCTTATACCGTCCGTTATACATTAAACGCGCATGTTTAATGTATAACGGGACACCCGGATTGTGGGTGTCCGGATTAACGACTTTTGACTGTATTCCCTTTTTGTAGTGCATATATGTGATAACATATATTCCCCTTTTTATGTTATTTCATTGTGTGATTTAAAATGCAGTTTATTAAGCTTTGATTGGCTTCGAATTTTGTTCAATTTTGGTGATGTGTAATTTTGTTTTAACATGTATGACATCATCATTCTCATAATTTTTTTTAAGTGAAAATAGATTGATGTGTACATGGACAAATTCAAGATAGTGTGCAGTGCCGAGTTTGTGCAATTCTTTGATTTTTTTTTTTTTTTTTTTTTTTTTTTTTTTTTTTTTTTTTTTCAAGTGAAAAGGGTTAGAGTAGTTTGAAGGGTGCCCCTTGTATTGTCGTGAAGTTGTTGGTTCATTTATCTCCAAGTTGTTTCTTTTATGGTAACCTGAGTAGTTTAATTAAGTATAGTTTAAGTATTAATGTTATGGAAACCTTATTGTGAAATAATCGATTGCGTGATTACCATAAATTTTGAATGACTGGAAAAAGATTTGTAAGGGCTTGTAATGTGTGTTGGTTAGGAAGTACATTGCTTGTTTTGTGGTTAAGAGACAGTAGAGCGGCTGAACGTTAATTGTTTTGTGGTTAAGACAGTAGAGCAGCTGAATGTTAATTAATTAGTTAACTAATAAGATTAATTTGAACTTTTGTACGATTTGGAACGTAAGGGGAAAAGTGCATCAATTGATTGCTGTGTAAATGAAGGTTTACTTAGTAGTCATTCTAAGTGTCCTGTTTGTTGGAAAGAAATGCGTATGGTTGAACATCGGAGGATACCGCCACTATGGAGGATATTTTTTATTCTTATTTTTTGTGTATTTATGTGACGCTGATATAAGGATTCTAGTTCAGATAATTTTAGGAAATTTTTTAATGCTGTTAAGGAATTTTGTGTGCGACAGTCTGAAGAACTCGAAAATTTCTTAATAAGGTAAGTGGATATTTGCTTTGTGTAGTGCTTAAAAGCATAAGATGAATTTCCCTTTTTATGTTATTTTATTATTTGATTTAAAAAGTAGTTTATTCAGATTATGTATTTTTTGTTTGACTGTACTGTAGAATTGGGTGCTCCTTTGACTTTTTAAGAGAAAATGGTTCAATGTGTACTTGGACAAAGGGAGTGCGCAATGCCAAGTTTGTGCAATTCTCTGAAGCTCAAACTTTTCTGCTTTAAATAACATTTAGTGTGGTACAAAACAATTTGAAAACCAATCTTTAAATAAATTTCCTATTACCTGAGCTCTTGGATTTGCTTCCCAATATACCATTAAGGTGTTTTTACTTACGCCTTTGTGCAAGAAGATTTAAAGATTCATAAACTAGCAAGGGTTTTGTCATAAAGTTCCCCGGCGCATTGCGGAACAAAAGTAGTGTTAGATTTCTTTAAATACCTTAAATCAAAGTGCAGTTTCTTCATTTTTTTGATATAAAGACTCTACTGGGCCTCCCCCCCCACCAAAGCCCAGTTTCATCGGCATTGGAAACTTGATCTGCTGTGTATCCTTGCTCTTCTGTAATCTTCTGAATTTTTTCTGGATATGTTCTAGCAGCTTCATAATCAGCTGACTTAAATTCTTATGCTATGAATTGCAAAACACTTTTTGAAGTTTTCAAACCAACCTTTACCTGCCACAAAATCTGGATTGACAGAGGATACTACATGTTCTTTAAGGTGTTTTTAAATTTTGAGTGCTTTTTGTTTAATGATATTGCCATCTAATAGAGTTCTTTTTTGACAGCTATCATCAATCTAAATGCTGAGTGCATTTCAATCTTGTCAATTATTAGCACTGAAGGGGGACAGTTCGAGCTGCACATTTTACAGATTTCAAAGATCCTGCAGCAGACTGGACTTCCTATTTCTTTTTCATTTTTCTTAATAGTCCGGACTGTTGCTTCATTCAAATTATGACAGTGTGAGATGCCTTTAAAATTTTCCTTTTAAATGATGATCTAAGATTTGTGTCTTTACTTCCAAAGAAATGAATTTTTTCTTAAACCTTTTTCTTTTTTATCTTTGTCCGTACATTGGAACTGAAACTTAATGTCTTAAAGATGAAAAAGTTTTTCTTTAACACACTGCGGCTCGACGCAGACTGCTAGCCACCAGTGCGAGACACTTTTGTTTTCAGGCTACAGAGATGAACATTCAAATTTTATGACCTTATGTTGTTCATCTTCTATGATAGTGAGGTTTCGTCATTGTTTTCTGGTAATTGTGCTCTCTTGAGACTGTGTATTGTGCTATAATTGGAAGGTCATGGATGGAAACAATTTTTTCCGTTACCAGTTCCAAATTCAGCAGTCACTCTCTACCATGTGACTTGTCTCCCTGAGGACATTTGTTCGTATGGGAACCAGATCTTGGAAGACAATCAGCAAGACTTACTAAATAAGGATTCTTATGAGTTAAATAAGTATATGGATGCTTTGCTCAGTATGGGAAAACTTTGTGCGAAGTTTGTTAAAGTTCTTGGGATTTCTTGGGCAATTTTCTTATTCTGTTAGAGTGAAACCGTGTTACAGTATGCCATGTTGTAGGACGTCAACCTATACTGCAAAATAATCTTGTCCTAAAATCCAAAGGAATTTTTTTTAATCTCCCGATTTTTTTCAAACAAATTATTGGCTAAAAGGAAGTATAAGGAGCATGCAAAATTTGGCACGGTCATTGTTAGTGATTTTAATCTGGTAATATTACTTACTGGAGTAAATGCCAAGTTTGTACAGTTCTGTGATGTTTTTAGAGCAAAAATAGATGACCGTTTACATCTAGAGAAGTACAATAATGCGTTATTTATTATAATATGTAATGTTTAATGTATGTACTGTCAAATTTGATAGATTCCCTGATGTTTTTTTTTTAATTGAGAACGAGACAACTACATACATGGCAAGAATAACAGTAATGTGTAATGTATTTTATAATCTTTATTTAATAATTCAAATTTGCATTTTTATTTTCTTTTAATAAATTGAGAATGTTTGCTGACTTGCGATAAATATCAGAATTTGGCTACAAAATGTAAAGTGACACTGAATTGCCTTGTATTTTCTTAATGCCAATAAGCTGTTTCGATGCTGAATAATCTTTTTCCTCAATTTAAAAATAAGTAACCTAATGAAGAAAATCTGTGTATACATAATATAATGTATAAAATGGCCATCCCCTTCAATGGAAATCTTCGATGTTATATAAAGCAATCAAATTACATTGATAAAATTTGACTCTTTTTATTAAATGTCATACCTGCAAATTTGCATCTGCAATTTACAGTTATCCCCATTTTCTGTGAGAAGCTGTTATGTTTCTTGCACAGTATTTGTGTAAGTAAATATGAAAAAATATTAAGTAAACCAAATATGGCTTGCATTTCAATATAATCTCTTCATGTGAAAAGGCATTTCTGCCAACATTTCTATAGGGCATTAAATCCCTGTGAGAAAATTCCTTCATCATACTTTAAAAACTAGTCATCAGCAGCATTTGTGATATTTTCATCAAGTGAAAAACGCTTATCACAAAGGTCATTGTCTAGCTTTTTAAGTAGGAAAAAGAAACTTGAGTATGGCATGTAAGATAATACTTAAAATGTTGCTGCAGTAATAGCAACTGTTCCCCAACAGAGATGGTTATTGGGCATTGCATGGTAATAAAAACATTCTTTTGTCAACACTTCCCATAACATGAATACAAGCCAGTTTTCCTTAAAGAGTCATCCATAAGAGTATTCTTTTCTTAAGCAGATAACTTTGTCATATTCTAAATAATCTTGTATGTTAATTTTATTATTGTGCTTAAAAAGCAGATTATATGAAAGTTATTATGCAAAAGTCATGACTTGATGTTTCTGTCGATACTGAACACTTGCAAAACTTTTACATGTCTTTTCTTGAAACAGTGATTTTGCAGATTCATAGATTTAGCATGGTACCAGTGAAATGTAAGCATAACATAATGCTTGTTTAGTTACTTACGAGTACATTGTGTACAGTCTGGCTTATCCAAATGAGGATTTTGCTGTGAATTGGCGAGAAATGTTTATTTTGCTATCTTTTTCGTTTATAGATACTATTCTGTTCATAAATAACCATCAAAAGAAGCATTTTCTAAGAAATGACATGTTTTGAAGAAAAAAAAAAACAAATATCAGTTTGGCAGATATTTGCATTTTTATAGCCAGGGAACAAACACTGTTCAGTAAAATGACTAGTATAAAAGCATATGATTCTGTGTATGTGATATGTATATGTGTCAGTGGGCTATTTTTTAATACAGTATTCTTTGCATGTATAAGCCTTACACTTAATTTTTTAATTCTCATTTTCAAAATGTAGTGAATTCTAATGTAATAAATCTAGTAAGTTATCAATTTGTGTATTTAAGCTGCACCCTTGATTTTCATCTGCTTTTTCATGGGGGGGGGGAATGTGGCTTATATACAACATAACATAATGTGGTAACTAGAAAATACACCATAAACACGGCAGTTTTGCCGCATGTTGAAATTAAGGATGCAGGTCATTTGAAAGTACCAGAAATATATAAAAAAAGCTTATAGTTACAGCCTTTATTAAAAAATTTAGTAATTGATCATGTACAGTGAGTGCATAATTGTAAGTAAGATCATGCAAATTTTTGTATTTTTTATTCAAATAATTCTTTGTATTAAAAATCTAGTCTCTCTGCCTTTTGTTTTGCATACTAATTCTGTATTATAATTCCAGATAATGATTTTACTACTAGTGGATTATCTGACTTGCAAGCCCTTGACTCTGTTTCATCATCTCAGAAAAGAAAGATATTCGATTGTGAGCGAGATGATTTTGAGGAGAGGTTTTATAAAATTCAAAGAAGAAAACAATTGCAACAGGTGACTGCCAGAGCTAATCTGGTTGTAGATGATAACGATGATGAGTTTGACGAAGAAGATAGGATTTATGAACAAATGGATTGGATAGAGAGAGAAAATATTATTGGTACTTGTGCTCAGGAAAATAATGAAGATGAACAATCATTTCAAAGTATGAATGCAACTGCTACTCTTATGTATGTCCCTAAATTAAAATGGAAAGAAGAAAGACGTCGACTTTTAAGGATTTCAATGGCTAAGATACGGGGTGTTGAAGATCCTGAAACTTACCTTCGTCGTTCCGTCCTAATAAACAATACTGTTAAAAGGCTTCAAAGAGATATTTCAGTTAATTATCGGTGCCATGCCGTAACATCATCGTCGTCATTCTTTCATGAAAGTGTGGCTTATCCAAATGAAAATACTGACAGCTGGGATTTTGAAAAAACTGATGTTAATAAGGAACAAGTGCATTCTGAAACAGCTTTTGATTTTGAATATGCTGCTTCAGTCGTGAATAATAGTGCTCCTGCCAATTTTAGTGAGCTTCAAGTCCAGTCAGATATATCTTTGAACTCTCTGAATTTCCATGTATCATTTGCATCATTTTCTTCCGAAAAACCTCACAGTGCTTTTCATCATGAAGTTCTACATTCTTCTTTGAACAAAAATATTTTTGATGAACAAATACTAAATGAAGGGTCACTTTCTCCACGAATTGTGAAACAACCAGCTCCTATTCATATGTTTTCTTCTCAGCCATGTGGTTTGCAATATAGAAACCCAATCCATGATGAAGATAATAACGAATATCATGAATCATCTGGCTCATCATCCCTTATTGATTCTGTTGTTTATCACAGTTTAATGGCTTCTCTTGAAACATGATTATTTTTGATGAAATAAGTCTTATATTTTCCAAAGCCTTAAATTGATATATATTATATGAATATGCCATTTGTGATCAGTTTTATATTTATGTTAAAGGAAAGTTTGTGAAAGTCAGATTTGAATGTAAATTTCATTATTCGCAATCCAGTCCATAAAGATGATAATAGCAGTTATCTTAAAGCAACTGTATTAGAGGTACAATCCTTTTGAATCATGAAGATAATAGTTATCATAAAGCAACTATCTCATTGCTCTTTCTGTATTCTTTTGTATATTAGAGATACTATGCTTTTGAATCATGAGTATTTTTTATAAAATTACCAAAGTTTTGTGTTGATATGCATTATATAAATATGTCATTTATAATTTATTTTACATTTGTGTTGAAGTTATATGAAGATCATATTGGAGGATAAATTTTGATAATTCATTTCATTCATTTTTCTGAGCACTGATAATTATATTCACATATTTTCATAATTTTTCATTCATATTTTTAAGTACCAGTAATATAAATATTCTGATATAAAACTTGTTTAATAAGTACTTATTAATTTTTTTAAGTGTTGATATTAAATGTGAATTATGTTTATTCTGTGTAAAGTTTTAAATAATATGGTTCTGCATAGATAGTAAGATATAAAATTTTATTCCATTTTAATTTAAAAAAAACTATGCGCTTGAATCATGAGTATTTTTTATAAAATTACCAAAGTTTTGTGTTGATATACGTTATATAAATATATCATCTATAATTTATTTTACATTTATGTTGAAGTTATATGAAGATCAAATTGAAGGATAAATTTTGATAATTCATTTCATTCATTTTTCTGAGCACTAATAATTATATTCACATATTTTCATAATTTCTTTCATTCATATTTTTAAGTACCAGTAATATAAATATTCTTATATAAAACTTGTTTAATAAGTACTTATTAATTTTTTAAGTGTTGATATTAAATGTGAATTATGTTTATTCTGTGTAAAGTTTTAAATAGTATGGTTCTGCATAGATAGTAAGATATAAAATTATATTCTGTTTTAATTTAAAAAAACTATGTGTTTGAATCATGAGTATTTTTTATAAAATTACCAAAGTTTTGTGTTGATATACATTATATAAATATATCATCTATAATTTATTTTACATTTGTGTTGAAGTTATATGAAGATCAAATCGGAGGATAAATTTTGATAATTCATTTCATTCATTTTTCTGAGCATTGATAATTATATTCACATATTTTCATAATTTTTCATTCATATTTTTAAGTATCATTAATATGAATATTCTGATATAAAGCTTGTTTAATAAGTACTTATTAATTTTTTTAAGTGTTGATATTAAATGTGAATTATGTTTATTCTGTGTAAAGTTTTAAATAATATGGTTCTGCATAGATAGTAAGATATAAAATTTTATTCCATTTTAATTAAAAAAAACTATGCGCTTGAATCATGAGTATTTTTTATAAATATATCATCTATAATTTATTTTACATTTATGTTGAAGTTATATGAAGATCAAATTGAAGGATAAATTTTGATAATTCATTTCATTCATTTTTCTGAGCACTGATAATTATATTCACATGTTTTCTTAATTTCTTTCATTCATATTTTAAGTATCAGTAATATGAATATTCTGATCTAAAACTTATTTAACAAGTACTTATTAATTTTTTAAGTCTTGATATTAAATATGAATTATGTTTATTCTGTGTAGAGTTTTAAATAATATGGTTCTGCATAGATAGTAAGATATAAAATTTTATTCCATTTTAATTAAAAAAATCCTGAATCTTTACATTCATATATTCATACTTAAATTTATATTTTGAAGTGCTGTATAAGTGTTTTTAGTTACTGACTCTTCTAATATATTTTACAGTTTAAAGATTATTTGTTATTGATAGATCTTGTAAAAAAAATACCAGTTTTAAATCTTTTATGTGCAATCAATTTGCTTTCAGTATTGAATTTAGAATGTTTTTTAAGAGGGTAAAAAGTCAATAATAAGACTTGTGAACATAATTAGTTTTCAGTTATTGTAGCATTTGTTCAGTTTCTTACAACAGCACACAATTTCATTTTTGTTTTATATCTGGAATATTCAAGTTTTCATGTATCTTACAGAGTAAAAATTATTAGAATTTAAGAAAAAAATAAAGCTCATCCTGGTTGAAATTATTTGCATTGTCAAATTAAAATGATGTCAGAAAAATCCTCTTAATTAAAACTTGGAATGAAATTCGTTAACACTATTATTCATGATCATCTAAATATATTTACTCAGAAAAGCTGGGCAGTTTTTTATTAATGTGGGAAATTACATATGTTGGAAATCAAAGACGTGTCACCTATTGTTTATCTAGGCTCATATTTTTGTTGCCTACAATTTGGTGGTAAAATAGTGAACTAGGATAACTGATAAGTAATAAAAACATCTAAAAAAATAATTAGATGCAGTTCAAAGTTAAGCTTATATTTGACAGTTCATATGTTTGTGTTAGGAACAGAATTGTTTTAAATTATTTGGTTTTTTGCTTTATTAATGTAAATTTAAATTCATCTGTATTCAGTCTTTATATTCCACCAACAATTAGCAATCAGTTAAGTGTCCTTTTTGGAAGGATGTTTTTTTTTTAAGTTATTCAATAAAAATTAATCCAGAATGCTAAACTTCTGATTAATTTAAAATCAAAATATAAGTATTTATCTATTTTCAAATCATAGCACAAATGTAGTATCAGGTAAATGTAATGTATAATTTTGATAGAAAAGAATGCTACAATAATGGATGATAGTTCAGATTTCAATTGGTAGATGCAAAGATGGTGCATAAATAACACAAAGCACAAATTGACAAAATAAAATTAATAATTTGTTAAATGTGCATTCCATTTTTGTTCATATGTTCAACAATAACATGAAGGGTTTGTTCAAGAATTGTAGCAATCTAGCATATTACGCTTGCTTTCAGTTATGCAGAGTTTGTATGTTTACAGACACGAATTTTCAGGAATTCCCATATGCATAAGTCGCGGGGACTCAAATCCAGAGAACAAGGACACCAGGTGTTTGGAAAGGTCAAAATTACCTAATCGTTTAAAAGATAGGTTCAAAGGAATTCCTTCACTTGTCAGTCAATATGGGCTGTTGGGCCATATTGCAACAAGACTAGTCTTTAAACATTCTTATCCTTTTCAGACAGAAATGGTTTGCTGTGCCAGGAGTTTGCAATAACAAGTGCTCATGACAGTATACTTTTTAGGACCATGAGTATTCTTGAAGAAAAGTGGACTCAAATAAAGTTCGCAGTAAAATCACAATCATGTAAGAATGCAGGTGTTCAGGTACAGTACTGGGACTTGCAGTAGCTCGTATGCAACAGTTTTGAGGACATCTAGGACATCATTTGAGCTGCATCTAGGACAAATATTCTGTGACCACAGAATATTCCAGGCTGTGCACTATCAACAGCAAGTACGTCCAAAAGCCAGCAAGAAATATTAATGTGTTTTTGCACCATGGGAATCTTGTACGGATATTAAAGAATGTATTGCCCGGTCATTTTAACAAAAGCGCTATTTAAGACAAAACATAAAAGGCCATATCATATCCAAATCACGTGATTCTTTGAAGAATATCATAAATAGGATGCTTTGTCAACCACAGCAAATATGACTTAGATCATTTGAAACTTACCATCTTCCAGGCTGCACATCTAACTATACAGTCTTTTTAAATTCAAGTTATATTTTTCAATCCTTTCTTCGATATATGCCCTTTTCTTAAGGCCCTTCGAATGCCAATATTCTCACAGTTGTGATAAAAACAACAAGCTCAGTCTCTCTTTTCCCCCCACCTAAAGATATGGTGAATGATTTAATGGCATTTACAACTGGTATTTTAAAGGGTGTCTAATTTAATAATGACCTTTGTACATTGGATTAAAAATGCCATCTAGAGGTTGAAATTTCAGCTATTTTAATTGCAGGTATTTTCCTGTTGTCCATACAGTGTGCATACCAATTTTCAACATTAAAATCTCACTACTAGAAATTGTGTGTTTGCAGATTGCTTTATTATGCAAATGAAATGCATATTTGGGGATGATTTTCCCAAACAAAAAAGTCATATCTTTTGATAAATTGATGATTTTTAATTAACTAATGTAAACAGCAGTACTGAATCTACCAGTTCATCAAAAACAGTAGTAATGCAACAAATGGAGATTATAAATACCATATTTTATAAGGAGCTGAATATGCTGACAGTATGATTTGATGTGTTCAAACTACGCCTTCACATGGGTATTACATTTTCATTTCCCTTTAACCAAGAGCATTGCCTGTTAATAAATAGACATATTGCAAAAGGACCTAGTACCAGTTTTGTTTATATATAAAATAATAACCTAATCACTTTGGCAACTTGTTCTGCTGTGACGTTGCAGTTTTTACTAGCCAATTATAAATGGCAGTTTTGCGTCGTCTTTTGAGATATTCTATGCTTCTATTAGGAAAATAATATAAATATTTGCCTCAAGTAAAATTCTTCCTGCTGTCTCAAATATGTTTATGTTGCCTAAAATTAAATAAGGCAGATTGGTGCTTGTTATGTTACAATTTGAATCTGTTTGCAGAGTAGAAATTTAAGACATTCATTGAAAATGTAAATATAATGATTTAACTGAGTATTCCTTTCGCCGTCTTTTTTTCAATTTCACTTATGTTTCAGTGTCATTCATATTAAAGTGCCTATAAATGAATGCATTGAAATTTAAACATGAATGAATGAATTCAGTATCTGCATAATTAATTTAATTAACCTAATGATAATTCAAAAATCAGTTACTAAAAATGTTGATCAAATCAGTGTTTTGTTACACATACCAGTGAAGTTCATAGGCTTGGCTGATTAGCTCTACCTGTGTTATTGATGTTATGCTACAAGAAGAAATCAATGAGTAAGTCATAAATTTCCATGATGTATTTAAAAATAGTAGCAAGCTCTTTCCATATATGTTAATAGGGAGTAGAACCATCCTAATTCATTTTATTCATTTTGTTAATCACGAGGTATTAATGAAATGAATATCATCATCTGTGGTTCAATTCAAAAACACCTGTAATTGGACTCGATGATTACAAGAAAGGAGCAACATGCTATCCTCTTTTTTTATTTTTATTTTTTTTTTTTTTTTTTTTTTTTTTTCTTGTTCAGAAAAGGAAAAAGTTATTAATAAAGGAATCTTCCCTGTTTATGGAAAGAAGTCTTTGTTTTGTAAATCCATGCAAAAGTGGTGCAAGAAAATGTTCTTTTTTTTTTTTTTTTTTAAATTGCAGTGTGGATCAAAAATTTTAATGTGGCTGGGACATCAATCCAAAGAATTTTATACAACTGGTATTTGAACATTGATGTAAAAATGAGACAAGTGTTGTAAATAATTTTGAAGATTATGTTGAGAAATATTTTTAGGTGATTAATCTCGTTTAAGGTATTTGGTAATTGCCTTTTGTAACTTACCCTCACATTCAACAATATTTGTAACAAATTAAAAAAATAATTTTCACAGATACATAAAGAAAACACATCTTAAATCAACACAAGAATGTGTGTTAATCTGAAACGAGCAAACTGAAGTCAAGTCTCGGCTTATAGAGTATTTTTATTATTTCATTGTAGAGACTATGTTTTCATTATTTCAAGTGCACTAACCTGTAGGCCTTAGATGCATTGGAAGAAATTCTGTTTTAGTATATGTAATAAGTTGGTCATTTGGAGGAATGTAAGTCATCTGAAAATATTGACTTGTAGAGCCATTTGGGTAAGAAAGCAGAAGTATTAATAGAGGATGAGTAGTCTGGCAAGGTTATGGCATGATGAGAATCATGAGAGAATTTTATGATCAAAGAAATTCAGACCTTTTTCTTTAAATGCAGAAAGATGAAAAGTTACTTCAGTTCCAGTTGCTCAACATAGATGCATTTTTTACAGCACTCATGTTACAAGTGTATTTGTATGTCACGCTAAGGCTGCAATCACACATCGGTTTGTTTCGGAAGAACAACTGTTTGGAAGAATTTTTCTGTTTTGTCACAACAGCCAGTCACCATAGATCGCTTTGGGGTTAACACAGGGGAAACTGGTTCCCCATTACAAACAAGCTGATTGGTTGAAAACGAACAACTCGCAATTTTTTTTTGGAAAGGAAGGAAAGGGTCGCAGTCTTTCTTTCAGTAGTAAACCAGGCAGAAAAATTGTCCGAAACAGTTGTTCGTGTGAAACAAACGCCATGTGATATGGGCCTAATTGCACTAAATTGTGCTGCTTGATGCCACAGTTAATAGGATAATATTGGAAGTGCCATTTTATATTTGTGTTCTGCTTTGTTTTTTGGGATAAAGTTGCTCAAAATTTAGTAGCTTTGCCGATTGAATCGTAGTTGTATTAATGGTATGTGTTTAATAATTTTTAAAAACTGCATGCAACTTTGAGTGTCAGAAAAACAATGTATTAATATACATTAGTATTATTTTCTGTGTTGTCCAATCTTTGGTAGTGTTTTATGTAAAAGCTGATATAGTATTGACTTTTCACAAGTTTCATGCATATTATAATATTTTTCATGCCCTGATCAGCGCTTAGTATGTATACAGTCAAAAGTTGTTAATCCGGACTCGTCGGGACTTTGGCGATTCCGGATTATGGGTATCTGAATTAACGACTTTTGACTGTATTTGAATTCTGATCATCACATAAAATTTCTTTTTGCATTTCAAAAGTTTGCTATTCTGTTTTCATCAGAATTCATGCAGGAGAGAAATAAAAATTCCCTTCATCAGTTTGCAGCTTTCTGTGCTGTATTTTTCTAAAGCTTTTGAATTAATTCTATCTTTTGAAATATTAGTGCTATTTACAGTAAATTTAATGTTCCCATTAAGACTGTTTACACCAAGCTAATCAGTAAAGTATGACCAAAAGGAATCTTAATTATTTGAGTGAGTGAAATTTAGCATAGGAAAAACTGTTAAATTATTCTAAGTGTAGGAAATTGACATGTAACGTTGATATCAATAACATAAGTTACAATAATATTGTGTGAATTTGGCTTTTATAGATCATGCATATCTGTGTGGATGAAGATAAGCTACTGTGACATATTTTACCAATATTTAGGCTGGATTCCCCCCCCCACACACACACCCAAAAAAAATGTGAAAGTTTCTTTTTAAGGGTGGTATCATTTTTTATGAAGTAGTTTCCATATATTATGATGAAAATTGGATTTTATGCGAATATACTAGAGCCCATTCAAAATACTTCCGTCATAACAGTATGGCAGAAGAACTTAACCAAGAAGCCTTTTCTCCCTGTTGTTAACTGTGTCAATTTGAATTGGTTAATTTTTTGGGCTGGTTCAACTTAATCATATTTTATTTTAAATATTAACTTTGTTTTAACCTGCAACTAATTGAACTTCATACAATGTAACTTTGGAAGATTTTATAAGCATATAAACAAGTTATAAGTTTTGTGGGAGTTGTTTTCTTAATGATTTTAAATATCTGAATTTTTAATGTGAAGCGAAGGGCTGTGTACCCTTTCTAACAAGTGTTCTAGTTAATACTACAATTGCTTAAGTAATTTTATTGTAAATAAGAAGTGTTTAGTTTGCATTATATGTGTTAAAAATGTAGTTGGTAAGGCTTTTATTTAAAAAGTTATTTGATAGAAATTTATAATGAATTTTCATTTTAGAGTTTATAAATATGTAAGCAGTTTTTGATTATTGATACAGGAGGATAGTATTATGGAATTTAGATTATATAGCACTTCAGCTGTTTTGTGATGAAATGGCTATGGAAGTGTAAATATATATTAAGTTCTAAAATTTTTTTGTCGAGATTTGCACAACTGCTTTCTTTCTTATTGTGAATGCATGTGTATATAATATAACTAATATATATATAAATATATATACCAAAAAGGTTTTTAAGCATTTTATCTAGTGGATATTTTCTCTATACTTGTGGCGTTTTATTTTTTATATTATGTATTCTTGTAAATGTGTTTCTTGCACCAGATTTTAATTTTACGATGTACAGATTTGTCCATTATGTTATAAAGTTGTTTCTGTGAGAATATAATATAGGCAAAAAATATATTGAAATGTAAAAGAATTTGATATAAATATATATTGAAACTTTATTATTTTTGCATATTTATGACTTTCATACAGCAAGATATGTTTTGCATGCTGCATTGCTTATTGTTCTGAAAGCCAGATTTTATAAATAAATTCTTTAAACTTTCTAACTTGTTTTCAATAGAACACATTAATACATTTTAATCAGAGTTGAGCTTTGAAATTTCAGATGTTTTTTTTTTTTTTTTTTTTTTTTTTTTTTTTTTTTTTTTTAATAAGGATTATTTTGCTATATTCATTTGTTCAGATTTTATGTATCACTGAATATTTTTAAAGATTACAGATTTCAGAATAATTAGTTAAAACTAGTTATTCTCATGCTTAGGAGTCAGTAATCAAATACAACTTAGTTTCATGTTTTAATTTATGTGAATAATTAATAAAAGCAAAAAATGTAAAACTTTAAATATCAAGCTAATTTAATTCATTTCTGCTTTTGAGAATTAATAGTTTTTTAAACAAAATGCTGTTATAAAATTTCATAGGTTGATTTAACTGTAATTTAAGTATGCAAGAGAGAACGCAGATTTTAAGAAAGTGTTTGAGACTGTAAATGATTCTTTTGTAAAAATGTATTGAAGTATTTAATAGAAAGAAATTATTTACAAAATAAATTTTGTGCTTTAAACGAGAAATGAGCAAGGCCTGATATATTCAGAAGCATGTGCCTTGGTCCTTCAAATCATCCTGTATTATATAAAATATGTAAGTTAATGTATTTCTCTTAATTCCAGGTTTTAAGAATATGAAATTAAAAACTGGCTAAAATGTTAAAATTTGGATTTTAGATTTTATTCCCTTTTTTTAAAAGAAAACAGCAAACAGTGAGAAATACGATATAAAAAAGAACTATAAATCTTTTATATAAAAATGTACATTATTAAATTAAGGTTCATAAAGAGCAAGATGGCACGATTTTTAAACTGTTCTAAATTTAATTTTGAATATGATAGATACATAAATGACCCATCAAAAGAGATGATTTTTCCTTGCTTGAAAGAAATTGATGTTTTAATTCTACATTTCATTCATATACCTAATTATTGAAACTATAAGCAATGGTATTGCATTAGTTTGTGAAATCTTTGTAAACTAATAAAGGTTTGTTGTGAAAACAATAAGAATTCTTAAGCTCTTATTAAGCTTAACTTAAGTATTTGAAGTTTAACTGAGAAAAAAGATTTGAATCCGGTTTAAAATCTATCAGGTTTATTTTACACCGAACTGAAACCATGAAAATAAAACGCACAAACAGGCGAAATGTACACTTTTGTTTAAGTCGCTCGCCAGATGCCTTTAAATAATTTTAAAAAATAAATTTTTTATATGATTTTACATTAAAATTTGATCTTTACAAGTAGTTTTAAAACCTCGTGTAAAAATTTGCTATAGAATTTACAGGGTGCGGCAGCATTCAAAGGGTAATTTGACTTGATTAGCACAATGACATACTGCATGAATTTGTGTAGTAATTGTTGCAAATATGGCGTATTGTAACCCCTTTTCTGCATTATATGTCCTCGGAATAATTTAACTTTTACATGAGGATATTTTAAAGGGATCTAGCAATTATTTCTACTTAGTTTTTCACTGCTACTGTTTGTATTAAAACCGGACTGTTCCAGCCTAATTAAGATGCAAAAACGAAACTCGAGGTTACGTCATCAGGAAAGTTGAGTCGTGTCGACAGCTGATTGGCCGCCGTGAGATGACGTCATGTGTACTTCGTGTATAAATATCGCATAATTTCAAAGGGTAAAGACGTCGTGCCGGCCACCAATCCGACATCGATCTGCCTGATAAGATCTGTCTGCGATCTCTGACTTACTGACTTCCTTTCACAATGAATGCTCAGTAGCCACCGCGTCTTGCCGGATTATGCCATTGATTGCTGCGACTTTATGGTTATGCCAATACTTATTTTAGATTGCGTTTTGCGGCGCGTTTATTATTTTTAATTTTGATTTGGTTGCTTGTCTATCTAGTTACCCCCAAGCTCACTTAGTTAGGAGTGAGTCAGGGGCCTGATAGATTTCCACCTGCCCATCCGTCTGCCGGCACGCTGTCGTGCCGGTGCGGATCTCCATTTCCGGGGCGCAGGATTTATGGACTCCATGCGTCACAATGGATACGAATCAGACTATGGAGAAGTTGATCGAATTCTATAACATACAGATTAGAGAATTAGAAAAATCCAAACAATTAAATGGATCTTTCACAGCAATTGAAGAAAAATTTCATTCATTTCTTATCAGCTCACTGGGTATGATTAAGATTCTCAATGAGGAGAATCTTAAAAAATGCCAAGAGCAAATTAATGTGCACCATAACCTTGATTCTTGTACTAACAATAATTCCCTTTCAGACAATGATAGAGGCCGCAGCCCTATCAAACTGCACGATAATTCTCCTACCAACACAGACGATGAAATCACCCTCGACAAGGATATATCTTCAGACGAAGATATCACTTGCAAGCGCCGAGGAGACCAAACGATTAGGATCCGGAATTCGCACTTAGCTGCGAAAAAACTTAAATTAAGCATGAAACATACTAATTCTTCCCATCAAAAGGAAAGTAAAAATCAGGAACCAAGTAACACCAATAAAGAACAAACTAGCGGCAACGCTACACAACCTTGTATAGAAACTACCAGTGAACAAGCGGACAATCCGCTCATGGATATCACCAACCAGGAAGAATCTACCATTAATTTAGAAAATTCTTCGACTGAAAATAATAATAATAAACCAGGAAAACAAATCCAGCAAATTACCTCCTATCATACTTAAAGAAAATAAATACTCTTACAGTAAAATCAAGAATATTTTTAACCAGAAAAACTTTCAAATTTATCGGCAATAGTATTCCTGATGGAATCAAAATCACCACAACAGAACCTGACACTTACAGGGCAATGGTTAAAATACTTAAGGATCTGGGGGTGGAACACCACTCTTACATTCTCCCCCAAGACAGAAAACTCAAAATTGTTATTAAAGGACTCCTAAGGAGTACCGAAACTGAGGAAATAAAAGAAGAACTTGAAGAGCTTAATTTCCTACCCGAAGAAATTAAGCAAATGACAAGAAGGAGAAATGGAGAAGTCTCAAAACTTCCCCTATTTTTAGTAACATTACCCAAAAATGAAGCCTCCAAGGAAATATATCAGATAAAATATCCTATGTGGGTTAAAAATTATTATAGAGGAGTACAAAGGCAGACAGGGCCCTCTACAATGTTTTAAGTGTCAGGGTTTCAACCACACTCAAATTGGATGTAAGTTATCCAACCTAGGTGCGTCAGATGTGCAGGTTCACATGAATCACGAGACTGCCCTGACAAGAACAATAAAGACAAACCGCTACTTTGTGCCAATTGCGGACAAAACCATACTTCAAGTTTTAAAGGGTGTATTAAATTCCCAAAACCGAAACAAGACAAACAAAAAAACATACCAAAGCCGCATAATCGAAGGCGAATCTTATGCACAAACCCTGGCTTCAGGAACATTCAGTGAAACCAGCGAAGCGAAGAAAATATTCTCAGATCTCGCCGAACTAGTATCTATTATTAAAAGCGCAGGATTCCTGCAAATAACCCAACATATAAAACAGATTAATAATACTAATGAGGAAAATAATGCTACCACTAATATAAATAATGGGTCTTAACTCTCTTATTAAAGCGCCCATACAAATCATGATATGGAATGCTAATAATATCCTACACAAAATTCCGGAACTTCAAAATTTCCTTATCACCAAAGACATCGATATTGCCTTAATCACCGAAACTCATGCAAATCCCAGCAAACGCATGAATATTCCAAATTACCGGTGCGACAGACTTAGTCACAGAGGTGGAGGGACTGCAATTTTTGTTAACGAGAGAACCTGTTAGAAGATACCTATTCCACTTAATAAGCTTCGCAGCTTTCGTAAGGAATTCACTTGAGCTTTTTCCGAGTCGACAAATATACATCCGACCAGCTGCCATCACTGTCATATAATCGAATCCTTTGATCAATTCATCTTTGTCGGTTCGTTTCTATCCACTTATGAATGTTATTAGTCAACTCTATTTGCAGGAAATAAACTGGGACACTTATGCAGGTTTAATAATAACATAAGCTATATTTTAATTTTATAAATACACATTAACTTTTCACAAAGTATCGCTTTTATTCACATTTACATCAAACGCCCAAGTAATACATTGCATCTCTCAGCTCTTAACAAAAAAAAAAAAAAAAAAAAAAAAGCTAACTCTACTCTCGGAATACAGCTAAAACTAATTTCAAATTTTTTCTCACGAGCATGCCGTTCTTCTCGTTGCCAGATTTTCCCCTCTCCTTTCAGATAAACTGTTTTTTTCACACCAGCATGCCGTCCTTCTCGCATCAAGCACGTTTCTTCTTTTCGTTGCCAGATTTTCTCCTCTCTCCTTTCAGCTATAAGTCTGTTCTTCCGGCAGGTTTGGTCGGTAGCATAGAGTATGTGCATGACATTTATATTCCATTAGCTTTTATTTTAGCTTTTGTGGCAACACATGTGATTTTACTTTTCCAGTAAGTATATACAATGTAACCTTTTTCTTGGTACATATTGACTTTTTAGACTTTTTATTATCATTAAATTGGCTGGCCAAATGTGCTATTTTGTAAAGGACAGTATTTTTTTGTGGGGGGGGAGGAATATTCTTGACGGCCTTTTGTTTTTGTTGAGAATAATCACACTCACTCCCTGGTTTATGAGTTGATGTTATATGTATATTAACCGTAACTGTTTATATTTTGCTTAGGTTGTATTGGCAACAGTCGTTGTAGTTTGGTGTGATCTGTAGAAGTGTGCTATGCCATGTGCGTGATTAATCCCATCATTTAATAAAGCCTCTACTTAATTATCATCGGCCTCTGATTCATCTTTTTAAATCTTAACAGTTTTTGATAAAAATGTCAAATTTGTCCCCTTTTTAATATAAGCTGTAAAATGACTGATTATTAGTTTAGTTATCCGAAGGTTATTATTCTTGATCTCTAATCCTATGTCAGAAGTATAAGCAAGTTTCGAGAGTCTGTTTTTTTTCTTTCTAAGAAAAATACCCTCTTATGTTGCGAAAAGTGCTTTGAGATCCTTGCTTGAAATCCTGGCTATCATTTGCGAGAAATGAAGTGTCTAATTGAAAAAGATAATATTTATGAATCTTGTCAAGCTAGGAAAAAAGTGAAATGGTTGTTATTAGTGACGTCAAAAAACAGCTAAAAGTATTAGATTCAGAGAAATTAATGAAATTAAGTTTCTTGAGGGAACTGAAAACTGCTACGTATGAAGCCAGCTTAGAATATATCAAGTGGAAGTATAGTTTAGGAAACATTGAGAAGTTTAAATGAGTTCTAAGGAAGAGATCTAAATGGAAAGAAAGCATTTGCTTTGAAAAAAAAAAAAAAAAAAAAAAAAAGATTGATTTAATAGGTTACGGAGTTTTCGCCTTAGAGGTTTTCTTTCTTTCTATTTTTTTCTCCTTTTTCTTTTTGAATACTAAAGTTCCCTTTAGTATCCAAAAAATTGAATTATTTTTAGACTTATCTTTTCTTTCGCTTTGTAAGATATACTTTAATTTTATAGCAGCTATTTTAATTTTGAAATCCTTTCCTTTCAATTCTTATTTCCACTTACAACTACCTACCAGAATGAGTTTTTAGAATCGCGTTGAATAGAAATGAGTAAGAAGAAGTATTTTAGGAAGGTTCAGCTTACTTCGATAGTGCCTAGTGGCGTGTGTTTGCCTTCTGGCTAAGTCATTCTTGAAGCCGTTACGCTCGACCGTATTATACGTGTCTATTGATATTCGCCGGCTAGTTTAATTTAAGGGTTAGATAATTGTGTCTAGCTTCAGCTAAGTCTAGTTTAGTTAATAGTAACTTAGTTTCTTATTTTCTTATTCTTAATTAAAGCCCGAGTAGAGGCTTTCCTCTAAGCTCGAGAAGGGGCCAACTGTTATTCTTATGTGTGAATAAAAGGGTATTTTAAGCCTTCTCGAGTCTACTTCTTAGTTGTTCTGAACTCAGCGATAAATCGCTACGTAGTTCACTACGTTCCTCGACGTTTTAATCATAGGAAAAGGGCGAGGAATCCTACAACTTCATCTACCAATTTCCACATTTTATGTGTTTTATAGGCTTTTATTACTTACTCAGAAACAGCCTACAAGCAGTCATTCAGTGACTGTAAGAAAATATGCTCATCAGCTCTCACTTCAACTCTTTCTACAAATAAAAGCTAAATGTCTATCTATAGTACTTTTATGAACGTGTATGCCTGCCTATAAGCACTGTAGTGTGCTAGGTATTAGAAGTGTTTACATCCTGTAATACTGACAAGAATTAAAGAGCATATTGCAGGAAATACAGCCATTCTAGCAACTGTGAGGAATGTTAGGCTTCTGTTCATTAAAATTAAAATTTCCTGTGTGAGTTTTATATTTACTAATTTCCAATTTTCATGTAGTATACTGCGGCAGTTTTCTTTTGCTTATTTTTCTCAGCTTTAACAGTTGGAAGGAAAACAATATAAAGCATATTTCGTCATGCTGATTTTTGGAATATGAAAAATGCATTGCTCGATCTCTTTGATTTTTAGTGGCGTACATTTTCTCGATGTCTTAGAATTTTAGTTGTTTGCATTATTTTTCGTATTTTTGCTTGAAATAAACTGCTTTGCGTTTAATATACACATAATGCAAAAATCTATTTGAGTTTTATTAAAATGACTAAAAACTTTAGTTCATTACGAACAGCTGAGAAATATTGCTCTAATCTGATATTCGTCATAGTCCTCTCAGAAGGCTTTATAATCAAAAATAAAAGGTTTATAAATAGTTATAATATAATTGTTTAAAAATCCTTATTAGCAAACTAGCTGGTTTCAAAAGTTTATTAGCTGTTTTTTGTAATAATATAATTTCTCTTGTTGAACTGACAATTGTTGAAAATAATGCGAATACTACGAATGCTTCTACCATTGAATCTTGTCATCATAAAGTATGATGGAAACAACGCAAAGCTATTCTTCGTATAAAATATTGCCGCATACAGCGTCACCCATTAATTGTTCATTTAGCCGTTAGGTTTGGTTACGGAAACATGCTAGAGCATGTTTGTAGAATGTTTATCAAGTCATTAGCATTAATAAAGTTGTTTCGTTTCTTTAGTGCAATGTACAGTTAGTTTTAGCTTTGCAGAAGCATAGCTGCCTTTGGTGCATTTCGTCAGTCTTCATACAGCTATTAATGTATTACCAGCCGTATCTCTATGACAAAGCTGTGAAGTTATTCAAACACCTTTAGTCAAACATCCACTAAGTTCATAAGCAGCTTTTTCACAGCATAAAAAATGCAATTTCGGATGTATTTTAGTTCTTCTTTACTCACAGTTGGCCGTTAATTGCATCACGCTGGAAAGACGGCCGCGAACATGGTTTCATTCTACAGCACAACCAGCTGCGAGCATACACTTTGCGACAGATTAAATAATATGCATTTCCATCCAAATTATTAGTGTTATTTTCATTCGCTGGATTTAAATTTTTATTATAGTAATTTGAAAAGGTATTTTTTCTGGGTATTAAATTACAGACGGCTTGCACCTGGTATCGATTCAGATTGCACGAATGTCGACTGTAGTACGATAATATCCACAGATCATAACGTGAACGCCGTTTAGTCGGCATTCTTATCCACAGGGCGTGTCATGTTCTTCTGCCTAATATACTCGGCGTTAGTAATGACAGGCAATAATCTTGGTAAAATCTGATTTATTAATGTAATGCTGAAGAAAAATTCACGACCAGACAGATAAGGAATGAATTCAGTTTTCAAGCCTCTTTTGTTTAAAAATGAGTTGAAATATTACAAATACAGAAATTGGATGTTATTATTTATAATACCATTGGGCTCCAGTCTCTCTGCCATGATATTCAAGCAGGAATGAGAATTCTTCAAGGATGAAAAAAAGAAAGATCAGAGGAGAGAAAATCCTGATCTGATCACAGTATTAATGTTGCTGACTTAGTTCCGAGTTTTAAACCTTTCCTGTTGTTATGTAAAAAAGGTTATTAAAGCAAAAGGAAGTTATTAAAACTCTGCATTATACTTCTGTAAATTTATTTGGAATCTAAAATGTATTTGAGATCACATGTTTTTCAAATGTCATTTAGCTTGACACCATCCAGGTACTAGCGCACCAATTCTTGTCAATTTTCGCATTGCAAAAAAATTTGGGAAAGGATCATCTGATGGTACCATGGATCTTCCCATTTGCTCTAAACGATGTTTCATTCTTCGCAGAACCGATTTTTCCTTTGCAGCTAAATTGTGTTGTTCTAGAGGATCATCTGGAAAAAAAAAAAAAAAATACTGTGTAATTACTCTAGAATAACACAGCTTTGTATCAAACCAAAGAAAAACGTTTTGTGGTTAAACTGGCATAAGACAATTTAAAGATTTCATTGGTTACCCTAAAATTCATCGAATCTCCTCAGGTTTTGGTTCATTTTTAAATTGAGCTTGTAATAAAATATACGTCCTTTTATTCAGTTCTGTAAACCGAAGGTTTAATTTTGCTAGTTAATTTTGATAAAGTATTTCGAAAAATATTTACTTAGACTTTTACTTATACTTTTTTCATTAAGAGAGGGATGCTTTCGTAGAACTGTAGATAAAAGATTGAATCACTTTGCAAAAGTACCTAATTTTTTAAATGTATCATAACTTGGAGCAATTAATTGTCGTGCTTTAAGAGGTTCATCAGTGGCGAGATAGCACAGCGCGGGACATTAGTAGTTTGACCTAAATTTGATTTCTGATGAGTACGGCCTGGTTCCATGAATTTCCATGGTTTTCCTCATCTGCAGTGTTAATACCTTGGATACTCAGTTTTCAGAGTCTTCCATAGTTCATTAACTAACTCTAAATAAACACTTATTTCTATTTTTGTCTATAAACTTTTCAAAATTATTGTTTAACATCTCTAATTTGTTACAATTGTAGTTAATTCTAAATAACCATCTAAATTAATCGAGACATTGTGGATGTTCTAACAGCTATGTAATGCCATCAGTTTCGCTGAAAATGAAGAGAGAATGCCACCAAAACGAAATTGGACAGAATGCTGCTGAAGCTTGTTGGGCTGTACTTGATTAGGAACTATTAAGCCCCATCAGACGTGAAACGAATTATCGCTCTGTCTAATGTATCTACAGGTCACGGAAAGGTTTTAATATCATTTTTCATTATACAGAAATTATAATGTCAATTCACGTTCTTGTGCTAACAAAATCAATCACTACTCGTGGTGATACAATTAAAGGGAGAATAAATTTCAGTTTAAAACGAAGGGTCAAAGACTGCACAGTTAAATGTAAATCTAAGCTGACTCAGAGCTTCTAACCGGCATATTAAATTCAAATGTCGGCAGCGATAATGCAAAACGGAATAATTATAAACTTATCAGACCTGGCGAGAACTAACGTAACGTGCCCACGAGAGGCAAAACCACTCTCACAAACCCCAAACCTCAGCTTAAATATTATCTAATTGATTTGCGTTCTGTTGAGCAAACGGAAAGGAGAAGTTATAATAAAGGTTGAAATCATAAATAACTGTTTAATTTAAATAATAACTTGGCGAGCTATGTGTAAGATATTTTAGCAATGTGATGTAGCGAAAGGTGTCCAAAGGATGAGTTTTGACTCAACCGCAGTGACTTTTCTAATTTTTAGGTAACAGATATAATAGTGTAGATGACTTACATGTTAATAAATACTGCTTCCGGAACAATTTGGTTTCCGGAGAAAGCTTTCAACAACGAAGCAGCTGGTTCGGCTCGTCGAGTTTTGTGGGGATGCGCTTCACAAGAAACAAAATGTAGCCTTACTCATGCTAGACGTGGCGAAGGCATTCGACCGCGTCTGGCATGAGGCTTATTTATAAACTTATAAATCTCCCTATGGATAGAGAGCTGATTCAGCTAATTATGTCTTTCATCACTAATAAGAAATTCACTGTGGCTATTGGAAAGGACATCTCCAGTTAACGCAAATGAATGCAGGCGTCCCACAGGGGTCCATTTTAGGGCCCGTCCTGTATTTATTTTATGTTCGTGACTTCCCTTAGGGCTCACATTGGCAGAAATTACTTTCTTGGGTGCTATGCGGATGATACGGCATTAGCCGTAAAGTCCGCAAACGCACACCATGCAATCAAGAAATTACAGGAGCTTCTACCAGTGGTAGAAAAGTGGTGTACAACTTGGAGAATTGCTATTAATACCAGCAAGTCGCAATTATTATTGATAAGGAGGAAAAATACACAGTTGACTATTAATAGCAAGCTCTTCTTATTCTCTGAAGAGATTCCTAGAGTTAGTAAGGCGAAATATTTAGGAGTAATGCTAAATGAAAGATTAAAATGGGGAGATCATATAACAGAGGTCAGAAGAAAAATTTTCACTGTTGTAAATAGTCTCATCCCTATATTGGGTAATTATTCTAGCTTAGACCTCAGGAAAAAGGGGCTAGTTTATATCACGGCAATTAGGCCATTGATGACTTATGCGTCGCCGGCCTGGTGCACGGCTACCAAGGAGAATATAAAAAGACTTCAAATCATGCAAAACAAAGTCTTAAGGCTTATCACCCATGCTCACTTTTTTATGAGCAATGCTACACTGCACTGTGACTTAAAACTGGACACTCTAGAAGAGCACCTGAATAAGATCAACAGGAAATTCTTCACGAAAGCTCTGAACTGTGACCATATGAGAAATTTTGATATCTTTACCTACGAAATATTGAATGAGGACGCCAAACTGCGCCCACTTGCGGCCCACCTTATCAGGGACCCGAACTTTCCCACCTAGTGCCCACCTGTAAATAATGTACCCAATGTGTTTATTAGCATTCTTAATTTTGTATCTTACTCATTTATTATACTGTGTATTTCTTAAATTCACTAGTTTTATTCACATTCTACACTCATTTTATGACTCACACTTAGTCACGCCTTTATCGGGCCGGTTACTTGCTAGTGAGCTCTTGCGTTGCTGGTCTTCCTATTCTTTATCCGTCTTTCTCCTCCATACTGCGTACATTATGTGAAGATAGTTCTATGTTATTGTGCCCATCTGGCATAAATTTGATTGAGCCAGATAAACTACTGATCTCAGTGGTATTCTGGCTATAAGTTATCAGTCAGTCAGTCATGTTAATAAAACTGATAGGAAAAAGTCAGCGTACGTAAATAAATAAAAATACTGATTAATTAAAATTCGATGAATTTCTCTCAAATATTCCATTTCTGTAAAACTATTTATTAATTTCTGGGCATCCATTTCCTCAGTTGTTTGAACTTAACTGAGAAGCTTATTTGAGCTCAGCTATCACTGTTCAACAGTGATAAGTTTGATGATCGATCTTCTGTCATACCGTTCCACAGACTGGCGTTCCTATGTGCTATGCTCCGATATTCACAGTGGCTCAGCTTAGTCATCACATGGCCATGTGAATCCCAATATACATTATAGAGTGCTTGCTCATTAGCCGGGCACAAATGATTTACGGGCTCACGTCTGTCGATAATGACAAGGCATGAAAGGTCGAAGTAAATTGAAACAGTTAAATGCGGGATGTCTGGGCTACACCACTAGAAAAACTTCATCGAATAAATAATAACATTAGCCCAGATTTGAAAATTTAAGGTCATGAAATGTATTTATGAACAGTAAAAAACTAGCTAAACCTCTTTTTCACAGCAATTTATATTCGGTACCTGCCGTGAGACTAACGAATGCTTTTTTTCTCCTGTACCTAATCGTTACTTTTCTCATAGTTTCTTAAGGAATATGGTATGAAAAATTCACAATATATTTAGTTTCTTTGAACCACAGTTATAAACAATTAGATTTAAAACTTTTAAAGCCGATCATAAGTGCAGTTTCATACTTCCAGTTGTGGGCATTTAGTTAATTGACGTAACTGTTATTTTATTTTGAAGCAGCGTTTCCTATCGCTTTTGCTTTCAACTAACACTTTCTTGCCAGAATGTAAATGGTACAGCATGCATGTATTCAAATGAAGCAGAAAGTAGTTAGTATTTAAGGGAAAGTTTTGTAAGGTGAATTCAAAGCGTTTTCTGCCTGCCTGAAGGCCAAGTTGCTATCTTTGATTTCTTTGTGATTAGATTTCTGTGGGATGAGCGCTTCTTGCCATAAAGCTTGTTTACGCCGACTTTCGAGTTAGAGCCAGCTTGCGCGGTAATTAACCTGTAAAGCCGTTAGGTTAAATTTAATTCATTTAATTTCAAGTTAACCATTACCTTTTGAGTTAAGCCAAAAGTGCTGAAGTTTAATAGGGCATTATGCACATAGTTTATCATATTTCTTGCTCTCAAACACCATGAAAACATTTTGCGGTCGGCTAAAGAAGCATCTACTCATGTTTTTGCAGAAATCATAATATATTACCCTTTTCATTTTGAATTTCAGCTCTAAATATATAAACTTCAGTAGAACTTGGGAGGGTCCCTTAATACTTTTGGCTTCAGGTCCTGTGCCTTATCCTATGTTCCAGCATACCTTGCTTATTCTTATTTATGCCACAAATAGTCCATAATATGGTGAGAACTTCTGGAAAATTTCTGCATGGCTTTAATTTTTTTCTGCCAACTGAACTGCATGTGATGTGCTATAAAGTTAAAAGGTGTAAAACAGCAGCAACGGTCTAAAAGAGATGACGTGATTTAAAAGTCCTAAGGACTACAACCGATGATTCGAAAAAATTGCACTTTCCTTTTTTTTTTTCTTCTTTATTTTATTTTATCTAAAAGCCCCTCTAAATCGACTGTTATTAAAGTAAGCTTTGATGGTCCAGCAGCTGCGCATAATCATTTCACTTTTTATAAATTTGACATTATAAACTAAGCTATAATTTGTTCTAATACCTGATGAAAATAAATTTTTTTTATTTTATAAATTCAATAATATTGGATTTCAACTTACCTCTGAGGTTGTAAAGATAAATACCCAGTTCTGAGATGTTTGATTTTGAGCACGATTGTTCAAGTTCTATTCCTTCATCTTGTTGAGACACTGGAAGCCAGTCACAAGGTAATCCTGGGTATCCGATTATTAATTTGTAATCTCCCATTCTGGATCAAATGAAAGGGAAAAGGGAAATATTTATGTTCAAATAACATTCATGCGAAATTTATGAAGCGTAAATGCATTTCCAAAATGGACACGTGCTGGTTTTAATTTTTCATATTAGTTTAATGAAAAACCTCTGAATTAGCTAAAATTTAAAACTCCTTGCCATTTCATATTTTTTGTATTGGTTTTAAAATTAGCTTAAAACAAATATTTTCTGAAGCGGTTTTTAATCATGCATGCGTACTATTACATAGTTTTCTTAGCTCAATCTTAAATGAAATGTAGATGATAGTACTGATTGACCGAACTGTAAGTGATAAGTGATAGTTTCTGCAGTACGGAGGAAAATATGCAATGAAAAGTCGTACATACAACAATACAAAAGCATTATAGTTCGTTTGCAATGTATGCATCAAAATGACTCGTTTTATATGTTCTATATGTATAGGACGAGTCATTTTGATCCCATTCTAGCAAATTGAAAATATGGAGCATTTTTTTTTTTTTGAATTTATGGTTTTAGACAATTGTACGAGGGTGGTTCCAAAAAAGAACGGTTACAATGGTATTGAATTATTGAAAACTGACAGAAAATGCAAAAAGGAATTAAGAGACATACCTGCTTATCATTTTTCCACATAATCACCAAATCAATTTAGGCATTTATCTGAACGCAGGACCATTTAAATCATTGTTGTCTGTTCAATTCGCAAGAAGCATAATAATTACTTTTCAAATGCTGATGCTTGTAAGCGTTTTGGGGAGGGATTCACCTACGTATTTTAGTTATGTAAGAAATGGAGACATCATTTCTTCTTTTAGTTCGTTCCCTTCTAATTCATTTTATCATATTCTCGAATCTGATGGCTAAGAAGGACGTGTGCTTTTAAAATTATGCAGGAAAAACTGTGTCAAGAGACGGGCAGATGGAGCTATCAAGAATTCGGAAACTTCCCGACGCGCCATTGGCCGTAGGTCCGCTTTGTCACCTGGCATCAATGGTTTCTAAACGGCTGACACAATAATCATAACTGCAGGATTGATGCAACAGAAAACTGTAAACTCATTGGAAGAAAAATATATAATGACTCTTCCCACTCTTGAACTAAACTAATGATAAATATATTAAATTCATCGTCTTAAACCCGCCCTCATTAACTCGTCGCAAATTCATATTTGCTGGATCTAATTCGTTACTGCATAACGTAAAAGAGCAGAATTTTCACTCCGCTACTCCGAAGATTTCATAACCATGCCAGAATCTTTATACGAGTCGGCGATTATTACTTAAAATCTTCAGCATAGCCTCCGGGAATCTTGTTGAAGACTGTTTTCTTCATGATGCAAACTGACCTTCATAAGAGTGCCAGAACCTTTATGCAGTTCGATTACTATTCGCTTAGGTAAAGATATTCACACGGGTATCCCGGTATCTCGATGAAGATTGCATTGTTCATGATATAAACTAATCGTTGCAAGAGTGCCGACACAACTCGAAAGCATGCCAGCACATTTGTGCGAATTGACAGCTTTGGTCAGATCTACTCCGTCCTCCTTTGTAAACAGATCACTTTCAGCCAAGTTTAACGTTTCAATTTCATCGTTAAAGTGAGGACTGACTCATCGATATTAATTTAAAATGCTGAATAATAATATTTTCAATGAATTAACTTGTCTTTTATTCAGATTTTGAACTCGAGAAATATCTTAAAGCCTGTAAGGTGTGTTTTAATTAATACATTATTTGTTATGTTGAATCTTTCCTGCATTTTTATTGCTTGGCTTACTCTACCTGAAAGTGCACTTGAAGTGAGTTAGAGAGAGAGCTAGATGGCAACTTTACCCTACCGTGCTGAACGCCTTTGTAATGTTTGCCTTTAGCCTTGTGCTACAAGCCGAAAAATTTGACTGAAATTACCTTAGCAGTAGGGAGATAGCGGATCCAGATTGTTAGGCCTTTATATTTAAACCTGTAAACAATTTAAATCATTGTTGTCTGTTCAATTCGCAAGAAGCATAAGCCAATTTTATTAAAACGTTCTTTAAATTTCAAACTGAAATTATAATAAATGTTTTAGTTTGACTTTTACTCTGTTGCTCTTACTTTAGCGTTCTATATTTATGGTAAAGACAGGTTGATTATCCATCGGGCACTCTAAGAAGATTAGATTAGTGTTTAGACCAAGTCAAACCCTTTAGCTTAGTCTTAGTGTAAATAAGATTGTAGGTTTAACCGTACAAGTCATTGAAAGGAATTATTTAGCGACACAGATTTAAATTGCATTAATCAGCACAAGTACGTCGGTTAATCATAGTTAAAACGGGAAAAAAGGAACTTATTCCTTTCCTTTAAATATTTTGTTAGAGTATAAATTTACAGAGACAAAAATTTAGCAACATAATCTAACAAATTTATTCTGGTTCAATCTAAAGAAATTATCATCAAATTACCTTATTGCTGCTCTCTTATATTCCAGATCGTAAATATTGTAGATAAACTCATTTCGTACTTCGGGACCTCCTGTGCTAATGGAATTCCACTGGTTCATGCCATCCATTCCATCATCTGTAATATTACGCCCAAGAAATCGTAGAAAGGAATATTTTGGAAACAGATATGCGTCATATAAAGCAAGTTTCATAAAATATGAGAAATAAACACATGCTTATTATTAAAAAGCGAAGAATTTGATGAAGCAGAAATTAGTCTGACCTTTATTTTCACCTCCAGCAGCTGCCAGTAGTGTTGGAAACCAGTCAACAGCATGGATCAAACTTAAACGGAAAGAAATCGTTTTAGTTTTCAGAGGTCGAAAAGATAAAATATCATATTGAGGAATATTTCAACGTAAATGTAATATTATTACAAAGAGAACATTTTCTTTTGGAAGAATATAGAGGTACCGCGATATAATGAAAAAAAAAAAAAAAAAAAAGATAAACGCAAATAAATTTAGCCCAAGTAGAATGACTACAAGCATTACAAACTGTATTTTTTTTTTTTTTTGAAAATATTTCTAATTTTTTAAATACAATGGTTTGATGTTATAATGGAGGTAATGATGGTCTCGAAAAAAAACTTAAACTCTGAAGCAAAAGAAAAAGGTTAAGCGAGGAACAGGTTCAAAAAACAGTATTTTTCATGCGTCAGAGAGGAAAGAAATAAAGGCAATACCAGTTACGTGGTTTCGAAATTGAGGAAAATTCAGAATGCCCCAACGTACAAGGCAGTTCCATACGATCGATAAGTATGGCATTAGAGAATTCAAACTGATTGTCTTGATTTTAATCAGGGCTCAATTTCTAAATCTGAAAGTATCGAAATCCTATGGAAGACCATTAGCGAAATGGAAATAATGAATAAAATAATTAATAACTAATAATTTAAATTGAATAAGACGTAAAGCAAAAAATGAAAAACACTACATTCGATTAAAATAACGACAAATAGTTAAATAATAAATTAACTTTTAAACTTGCAACGATTATTAAACTTGCAACTAAACTTGCAACGATTAGTTTATATCATGAGCAATGCAATCTTCATCGAGATACCGGGATACCCGTGTGAATATCTTTACCTAAGCGAATAGTAATCGAACTGCATAAAGGTTCTGGCACTCTTATGAAGGTCAGTTTGCGTCATGAAGAAACAGTCTTCAACAAGATTCCCGGAGGCTATGCTGAAGATTTTAAGTAATAATCGCCGACTCGTATAAAGATTCTGGCATGGTTATGAAATCTTCGGAGTAGCGGAGTGAAAATTCTGCTCTTTTACGTTATGCAGTAACGAATCCATAAAGAATTTCTTTAATTAAGTTTGAATTTCGGAATTTTAGCTTCAATCAAAAACTGAAAAGTAGCGAATTTCCGGAATTTTTATGCCTTTTAAACCTCTGATTCAATTATGTTAAAATTTGTTATGATTGTATATGAATCATTTTAATGATACGATTCTTCTAACCATAAAGAAGAAATTTTTACTCATTGTTAATATACAGGTACAAGTAAAAAGCTCCTTACTTGTTGTTGACGTATCCTTTCTTTTGCAATATGTCTCCATAAAGAAAAGTCGGCACCCTCGTTCCACCTTCCCAAAGAGTCATCTTGGCTCCTCTCAATGGGTAATTGCTTCCACCGCTCAACACCTCACCTCCATTCTGAAAATGATGTCTGTACTCTATTAGATTATACATCACTTAATGTCCTTACTTTCTGCAACAGAAATTTCAAGTAGTGGATTATGAAGGAATTCTGTTGCATCTGTTGCTTAGTGCCAGATTACCAGCTATGCGAACAAAGTTAGTGATTTGAATATGGTTTTTATCTATATTTCTTAATAACATTTTTCAACAAGTCTTTTTTTATACTATAAATGTGTTACTAAACACCTTCTAATGATATCGATTGCAATGTTTAACTCTACTGCTTCCGTACACTATCATCTACATCCGAAGTTAAACAGAAGGATTTCTTCATCACCATTCAGTTTTACTTTGGCTTCAGTTTTGCTTACTATAATATACTTTTTAAATATGTTTATATTTCTTTTGTTTGTTTGTTTGTTTGTTTGTTTGTTTGTTTTTGTTTTATTCAAATGAAAATTTTTGAAATATTTCAATAGTTTTCTGTTTATACCAATTTAAAGTAAAAAAGTGTAAATATTTTCATTAATGAAATGATAGATATCTTTATTTAAGATGAGAAAAGAAATCTTTATATGAAGTTTTATGTTGATTTTCATATATATATATATATATATATATATATATATATATATATAATTGAAATAGAAATTGTAAAGCTAACTAGTAATGAGACGTAAGACCTATTTGGTCTTAAAAATTTTTGCGCATAATGCTGCAAAAAGATACGAAATAATAGTAGGTAGAAACATTGCAGCGATCTTGCTAAAAAGTTACCAAGGAGCTGTAGCTCCACGAAATAGTTCAACGCTGTATTACTAAAATATGAACTAAGAAGAATTTTTTTTTTAAAAATGTATCTGGAAAAACTGGAAAAAACTGTAAACATGCGAAAAAAACCGTTAAAATTAATGTTGGAATATATATATATACACATTTAACAGTAATTCTTCTTCGAGGTAATCCGAACTTCTCAGTTCGCACGTGAGTTTCTTTTCGGTGATACCTCTGTATTTCAAATGGATCTAATTTATTTCCAATTACTTACTAATAGCTAAGTTGTATATCATCATTAAAGTCAAAAATGATCTAGAATGTTCCTTGGATTTCGAGATCAATGTTGCCAAAGAATATCAGTCCTGTTAAATATTTTGGGGAGAAATCAGGGCTTAGCAGAAACTTACTATATAGGTTGTTCAAAACAGGTAGCTATGGAATTTATTTCCTTAAATACTGCTCTAGGCCCACCAGCTGCCGAGCGGTAAAAGCCGCTGAACACTGGTAGTTCGGCCCGGGGTTCGAGTCCCGGCGAACGGGCTGGTTGCATGGGCGTTTTCTTGGTTTTCCCCATGTGTAACGTGGATACGAGCCAGTTTCCCTTAAAAAGACCTCCACGGAGTATCTCTCCCTTTCCGTGTAGTGCCTAAGGGCGGAGCACGTAATAAGCAAAAAAATACTGATCTAGACATGTGCTAAAAATTATCTCAAAATAAGGTAGAGAACAGTTTTGATACTCAAATAATTTAGCAAAATATGGGTCTTAGAATCGATGCTTAAAATTTGAATTAATGATATCATTAACTCTAAATCTCTATTTAAGATGAGAAAAGAAATGGATAAATATTTCAACTAGACTAAAATGATAAGCTTTGAAATAATCTCAACATGAAATTTGGATACAGAAGAAGGGGTGAACGAATCTAATAATAATGTGTCAAATACTTACATCTGATATAAACACAATTAGGAAATTATTCCAAAATCCGTACCGCTTCATGTCTGATACCAGACTTCCTATAGCGTCATCCAAAGCAGTCACCATGCCTGAAAATAACATTTAAAGATGTCATAAAAAAAGTATGCTGATATAACTGGAATTAAAGGATATAGGATTTAATAACAGTGAAATATTTTTACATTTATAAAGAAAATTTTAAATCATTAAATTATAATAATGCATTTTCGGAGATTCTTAGGGCTTTCCTAAGTGAATAGTTCAGTGCTGTTAAAAACTTGACCTGCATTAATTTCCAATCAATACATGACTATAATGAGTGCTTGAAGATACTCGAGCATCGTTTAAGATAATGTTTTAAAGTATCATATAATACAGGAACAAATTCCTTAATTTCCATTGCAAAATAAACTGTGTCAGTTCCGAATCGTAAGGACAACGCAAGACTATCAATGGCCGAGTGAATAAGACCGTTAAAAGAGGGAAATTTGAGTCTAGTTTTCGAATCTCAGCGAACAGGCTGGCTACATCAGCGTTTATTTGATTTTCTCCATGTCTAACGCAGACAGGAGTCAGTTTCCTTAACAAGAAAAGTATAAAGATCAAGGCGACATACATGATGGCATCTTTGTCTTGTTAAATCCCTATGAAGTGAGATGACGCTACCATCGCTACTGTTAACGAAAAGAATGTTAGTTTTGTTAACGATGCTTGATGAACGAAGAACCACGGACGGCTTCCTAGCCTCTTTTAAAATAAATTATTATTTTTGTAGTTATGCAGTCTCTTGCAGTACTACTGTGATCATCCTTATATAATTATTTTTTTCAGCAACAGAAATAAATATTTCTGTGCTACTAAAGGTTTGTAGACAAATTTTGCTTCGAATATGGAATATGGTATTGTATTCAACGACGTCTGTGCATTGTGGCGGGAAACATTAAAATCATGTGGATGAACTACAGTTTGGAATAAGCGAGTAAGAATAAGATTCGATCGTACTTTGTGACAAGGTAAGATTTAATATTCTTTATTTTTAAGAAATGAGCTTTCATATTGCAAATTACTTCTAACGCCTTTTCATAATGTAATTAAAATCGAAAGAGAAATTTAGTTAAATGAAGATATTAGATTAAATGGAAAGAATTGTTAGAAATTTATTTCGAAATGAAAATAGCGAAGGTTAAACAAACTACTCTTAAAAAAAATTTTACAACAAGATAATTTCTAAAATCGAAACAAAAATTTTAGAAAATGAAACAGGAGAATAAGAGTTAGAAGAACATTCAGAATAAATTAATTTGAAATTTAAACAGCTAAAAGAAATAAATCCTGAAATTCAAAGTAGAATTACGAATGTTAAAGAAATTGAAACCGAAATTATTAAGTGTGACGAGTATCACGAAAAATTGATTAATTGCACATGTAAGTTTGAAGCTGTAATTAATAACTGCATACCAGATACGCAAAGAACACGAGAGCAACCTATTAGCTTGTTAAAATTGGAAAAACAGTTTGTTAAGTAACACTCGGTAAAAAGATTCGATGACAATCCTGCCGATTGGTAAAGATTCTGGGATCAGTTTGAATCTCTGATACACAGAAATGAAGATTTTTCTAACGTAGATAAATGTAATTACTTACACTGATATTTATCTGGAGTAGCTGCGAATGCAATTAAAGGAATTACAAATAAAAATAAAAACTACGAAGCAACAAATAGAAACATTTGGTAAAAAAACTTTAGTCGTTAGTTTTCATTTAAATAAATTACTGAATCTAAAACCTGTTTGAAAATCTATAGACGTCTCTCTGCTTAGAGATTTGTTAGATACTTGTCAAGAGGAAGTTCGCAATTTAGAAGCCTGAGAGGTAAATTTAGAAGTTTGCGATTCTCTATTGTGTCCTATATTGATTTAATTAATACCAAAAGATATTATTTTAGAGATCACTAATAAATGCTAATTACACGAAGATTGGAAGTTCTTGAAAATAATTAATACTCTGAAACCAGAAGTTGAAAGCAAAGGAAAAAATACCTGTTTTTTAACACAGAACAAGTATTCAAATGAATACGAAACAAAATTTAAAACTCCATCAGGACAAATTAGTGAACCGAGGGCAAAGCTGCAAAACCTAAACACTTTCATGAAAAGGACTTATAAAAGCACATCGTCAGCGCTGGCATTCAGTATGACGTAGTCTACATAATTTTTATGTTCTGCACTACATGATTCATTTAAATGTAAAATGTCACAGCAAAATAAATTAGAAATTTTAAAGCATGCTAAACGTTGCTTCAAATGTTTCAAAATGTATCACATTAAGAAAAACTCTTCGTTCTAATAAACTTTCTTGTTTTAAATGCGAAAGCGAAAGTCATTATAGTTCCATTCGTCTGGGTAATAACCGAAATAATCATACTGCAACAATTAATCAAACGAATAATATAGAAGATAAATGCAAAGAATCGTTGAATTTAAATTCCAATGCTAAGGATACTCAAGTATCAAATAATTCTGTAATTGCCAATTCAGTTTCACAGTGTAATGCAAGCATAACATGCTCAAAATGTTTCTTTGCAAACATGTGCAAATGTTTCAAATTCAGAATTTAGTTCTAAAGTGACCAGAATTCTATTCGAAAATGGAAGTCAAAGAAGAGTCTGAAATGAGCATTTAGCAAATATTGTTAAAACCTATTCGCTATGAAATACTTTCTGTTTATTCCCTTAGAATGCAATATGCAATAGAGAAACAAATATCCAGTCGTAGAATTTGGAATTAAAGCAAGAAATAATACGCAGTATTCAATTAAAATCGAAACTCTTGTTATCCCAAACATTACTGGAGCCACAATTTTCCCTCCCGGTAAATAAGTATCAGAATTTATGGTAAGTCATCAATTACAGTTCGCTGACTCATGCTACTGAGATAAATATTTGAATGTTGAAATCCTAATAGGATCCGATATATTTTGGGAATTCATCTTAGATGAAAGAATCGCAATAAACAAACATTTATGTGCAATAAAAACTCTTTGGATGAGAATTTAGAAAAGAGAAAGCTTATTCGCAAAATATTGTCGTTATGAATAAGGCGATTATAAATGACTTAAAAGAGTGTTCAGGGAATTACTTTGAAAATCTCACCCTGATGAATTAAGTAATAATTCTCAAATTACAAAGAAAAGTTTTGAGATTTTGAAACATAGATTGGATAAGGATATAGAATATACAAAAATAATTGATGATCATCTTAAAGACGGAATTGTTGAAGTATATAAAAACAATGATTTCGAATCAGGTTATCATATGCCCCAAAGAGCAGTGATAACACCAGATAAAGAAACTTCTAGCGTTAGAATTGTTTTCGGTGCGTCATGTAAAGGACAAAATTCTAATTATATTAGAATATTAGTATTAGTATTCATTCTTAAATTTCGAAAACACAATATCGCTTTTTCAGCTGATATAGAAAGGCATTTCTAATGATAAGTATTGGCGAGGACGATCGTAAATATTTAAAATTCTTTTGATTTCAGAATGATAGTTGTGAATCATTCAAACTTATATAAACATGACACGTTTACCATTTGGTATTAATACCAATCTATTCGTTCTAGCAGCTACAATAATGTATCATATTAAAAAACACATCATTAAAAAACCTGAAAGTTATGAAATGTTGAACTCATCTTTATATGTCGATGATTTATATTCTGGTGTAAATACGGTAGAAAAGGCATATCAGCTGTCATCTGATGCAGTTACCATTTCAAAGCACGAGAGTATGAATTTTCGTAAATTTAATTCAAATTCTAAAGATTTAAAAGACAAATGATTAGGAAACGGTTTATTAATGAATGATTCCTTTTGGACAAGCTAAAATTTTAGGTCTTGGTTGGGATACAGAAAGTGACACTATTAAACTAGATTTAAAATCTTTAGAATCATATTCAACTAGTTGAGTATTATATATCAAAAGAACTTGATATTACACAAAGATTTGTTAAAAAACGAAACGAGCAATTGACAATTAAGATCTATTGCAATAGAGACTCTTGGGATCTATCCTCAAAATGAATGGATGCGGGTCTACACTTGACGGCTCTATTTTAGAAAGATCGCGCGGTGCTGGAGCAGGTATCCATAGTGAGCTTTTTAGTTTCTACTTACCAATTGGCCTAATTACTATTTATTGCCTTTGATGCCGAAATAGAAGCCATTGTTATGGCTATTTAACAACTGTCGATTCGTAGCCACTCTTTTGTAAAGGCAGTCACTGTCAGATTCCAAAAGTGCTCTTTAAGTTCCTTCTGAATAATCAAAATAGTTCCCAAAGAATCTTAGACTGTATTCCTTTGCTTAAAGCAATGGCACACAGAATTTTTTTCCAATAGATTCCAACCCGCTGTGAAATTATGGGCAACGAAAAAGCTGATACATTGGCTAAGAAACGAAATTTGATAAAGCAACGCATTAATCGACCGCTTTCTTTTCATACCACTAAACTGTTTGTTAACCTGACTGTTAAGAACAATTTTAAACAGGATATGATTCAACATGCTGTGAATAAGAGATGGAGTATTCTGAGGGAAGTGACAACATCCATTCCCAATTATTTAAGAAAGACAGCGGTGGCTTTATTTAGACATTTGACTGGACATGATTGCTTGTGAAATCTCCTCTACAGAATATTAGCGGTGGATTCCCCAAACTGTGTTTTGCGTGACTGCAGCGTATGATTTTGGAAAATTTAAATAATTGTAGTGAACTTTCTCGGTATGAGGGCATTGTTAAAAAGTACTGGGGAACTCGTGAACATTGGCATTTGAAAAATTAAAATATATCGAAAGAGCAGAGTTACAAGTTACAGTTAAAATGGGCAATCCAAATGGATTTATATCTCCATTCGTGATTAGAATTAAATTCCTCCTACAAGAGATATGGGTAAAAGGTCTTGATTCAGACGAACAGCTTCCAAATGATAATGAAAACTGAATTTACTCGCGGGAATAATTCATTTACAAGGGATATAGATAGACAGAGAATACTTTCAAAATATTGATAAGCAAAATATAAACATTTCCTTACATACATTCTGCGAAATAAGTAATAACGCATATGGAAGTGTAGCTTATTTCAGATATACCAATAAGTTTGGTGAAATCAAAATAAGTTTCATTTTGTCGAAAACCAGAATAGCTCCTCATCAAAGCTTAACATTATCCTGATTAAAATTTTTGGGAGCTATTACGGCAGCTAGACTTGCAAAATATCTAACTAAATTATTTAATCACATATGCGCACAGATGTACTTCTGGACAGATTCGCAAATCGTATTACACTGGATCAAAGGATCTTCTAGCAATTCGAAATCTTTTGTCCCTAATAGGGTTGCAGAAATTCAAGCCTTGAAGAACCCCAGTGACTGGTAATATTGTAACAGTCTGGAAAATTCCTCAGATTTGCTAACCAGCAGTTTAAGAGTAAATTCTCTGACGACTTTGCTCACTTTGGTCGTTTAGACCGGAATGATTACAAAACCAGTGCATAAACTGGCCAGTTCAACAGAATTTTGACATAGGAACCGATGAACAACTAAAACGCAGTATTAAGATATCTGTTTATGACATTTTTATGAAAAGAGACGATCAGCTATTCATTAAGTACAAGAAAATTCAGTAATGTTTTCAAATTTCTCAGAATTGTGGCATGGATCAAATGCTTCGTTGCTAGAGCAAGAAAACTTCCTGCTAATAATGGCCCATTAAGAGCTTCTCCAACTCAGGACGCTGAAATATTTTGTGCTCTCAAAGCTCAGATGGATTTCTTTACACCTGGAATTAGGGTTCTTTAATCTGACAAGTCAGTTTCTCTGAGTTGTAGAATATTCAGCTTGGCATCGTTTCTTGATGAAAACCAAGTTCTTTGAATTAAAGGAAGGCTAGAAGAAACCGAAGATACAGTTTGCGGAATATATCCAGCTTTTCTTTCCTAAAGATTTCAAATTTTATGACTTGAAAAAAAGAAAAACTAAGAGCTTTCTACATGCAGTACTTGCAGCAACTTTAGCCAAGCTACGACAAAAGTTTTAGATTCCTAAAGGTCGCCAGTTGGTGAAAAAAGTCATAGGAAACTAACTAATATGTCAAAAATATGCAGTAAAACCGGAGAAACAAATGACAGCTCAGTTGCCTAAAGACCAGATTGTAAAAACACCACCTTTCTATGTTACCGGTGTGGATTTCACAGGTCCTGTTTACATCAAATCTGAGAATGGCATTCAGAACTCATACATCGTATTGTTTACGTGTGTGTGCTGTTACACGAGAGTTAGATATGGAATATGTCTGAAAATAAATTTATTTTCTCTCTTCGACGTTTCATCACAAGAAGAGGGAAATGTGGATATTAAAATGTGAACCTTTTCAGACTTTTTATCTTTATTTTTGTTATTCTTTTGCTGTGTTATTCCTGTGTGTATACGACAACAGTACAATATTGTTTCGGTTTGGATTAGAATAAAGCACGTGAGGATTCTAATGTCTAAGGGGAACGATGTCTTCGTTGAGGATTTTGGAGGGAACTGGTTCGTGTTTACGTTAAACGTATGAAAAGATGAACCAGGAAAATGCCCACGTAGATAGCTCGGGATATGAATTTGGTGTAGAACTACTAGTGTCGAACTACTTTGGTGTCGAACTACTAGCTTATAGACTGGTTACTGGTGGGCTAGTATTACAATACCATGTTCTTTAAATAATATTTTAGAATTTTATTCTAAATATGGATACAAAATAACCATATTTTTTGCATAGGCTATCTTAAATCGCAATTACTTTCTTCCCTCCTTTATTTTTGGGACATATTTTTACTTTATTTTTGCGTGGGCTCATTCTGTCCGTAGGATTCTTTCAGTTATTGATGGTTAACAAAAACTATCAGTTAAAAGAATGCAGCACAGTCGAGTTTCCCCGTGTTTAACTGTCCTGAAGTAAATTTCAACAGTTTTCCTAAACTTATATCTATTTGGCAGTTTATTTCAGTTTTAATACACTGTTCGTGCACTTCAGTTGCAGAAGTAATAATGTTGGATAACTCACCACTGTAAATCCTCCTTTCTTTGTTTCTGATATGGCTGTATTTTTCTTCATATATTTTTGGCACCTGTTGGAGCAAAAGCTTATTTTACTTTTAACATATTGATTGCAAATAATGTTCTTTAACATGGAAGACGACTTAAACGGTTATTCAAATAGCTAAAGCAAGTGGTATGTAACAAGTATAGAAAAGTAATAATTTCATTAACTAATTTTGCTAATTTAGTGCATAATCATCAGAAAATTTTGCCGAAGTCGGGAAACTGTAGAAATTCGTACTACTTTCGCCAGGATTCGAACTTTAGACCCCCCCCCGAACAAGCGTCGAGCGTGCCTCTAGTTACGCCACAAAAGCATGCGGAAAGGAAAGATCTTAACTCCTTCTTTTAAAGGGCGGCTTGGGATTTGGGGAGTACCACTAGCAGAATCATTTAAAATTTTCCGATATCAGGAAACTGAAGAAATCCGAAAGGCCCTCGCCTGGATTCAAACTCTAGACCTCACGAATAGGCTTCGAGTGTGCTTCCACTTACATCATGAAGGCATGCGGAGAGGAGGGAGAAAATATCTTATATACTCCCTCTTTTAAAAGGCGACTGAGGATGAGGAGACAAACGTCCCCAAATCCTGGTGGTGATGAATTATCGTCCCCCACCTTTTTAATTTGGGGACGACTGTAGAGTTTTTTTAGAAATTTCCTAAGCAAGGAAATCGAATCCGTAATGCCCTCGCCGGGATTCGAGCTGCGGACCTCCTGAATACTCTTCAAGTGTGCTTCCAGTTATACCATGAAGACATGCGGAAAGGAGGGAGAAAATACCTTATAACTTCGTTAAAAATTATCACGCTTGCAGCTAAAAATTAATGTTTCATAAAATTTACAGATTCATTTTATCTCGTTGACATAGTACTTTGCAAACATGCAAAAACAGTCCGTAAGAATTGACGTTTTTCACTGTTTCCTTGCTGTCAAGCTATAAGGTGATGAATATGGGAAAAGAAGTAAAGAATAGAATATAATAACATTCTGAGAGGATCCTGCTGAGAACAAATTATAAAACATATTACTATTTTTATCTCATATTATAAAACTTGATATTCACAATCCAGCACTAAAGATTTTAGCGAAATATGCTGATGTCATAATCACGCGTTTGACGTCATTTAATTTAGAAATAATACATTAAACGAGCTCTTTACATAATCACCCTATTTTCCATACCTCTTTTTTATCATGCTATGTGCGAACTACCATATACATACTAAATATAGAAAATTCTAAGAATTTTTCTACAAAATATCTTTGGTATTTTGCTTTATTTTTCAAGACATGAATTCCAGTTGCCTCGTCTACATAATTCGCCTACATAAGCAATGAACACGTTTTTAAATGAGACACGTTCCCAACACGCTTCTAACCTTCTTAATTGGTGATAGTAAAATACGTAGCAGGCGATTAAAATTGTTAAACCAAGAAGGAAAGCAAATAGCAGAATCTTGTTTAATGTACATAGACAGTATTATTAGTGAAAGACATGATTAAATTTGCATATTATTAGGGGTACACATCACGCAAAATGCAGTACACAGGGATGAAATTCTACCCCCGGCTATGTCTACACGGTGGTACAAATGGACCACTGAGCTGCCACTTATACACCATATACGTTCCAAGATGGACTGGAGTATTTTTCTACTTCTGAGGTAATATTCATATATTTTGCGATGCTTCCGGATAAACATATGAAGCAGTTCTGTACGTCCGTTTTATAGAATACAATATTACAAAGGTTCGATTAGTATGCAGACGTAAGAGTCTATTTCCTCTTAAAAATAACTCTTCCTCCACTAGAGCTGCTGGCAACAGTCATCGGAGCTCGTTTGCTCCAGTACGTCTATGAAGAAACTGGCTTAGACCGTAGTACAGCAAGGCTTTGCCGTGACTTTTGGAGCTCTAAGCTGGATTTGAGAGGTTCCCAACCGTTGGAAAACGCTGGTCTGCAATCGAATTACTGAAACTCAGCAATGCACTCCTCCAGAACAGTTTCGTCATTGCCTTGGTAATCAATGTCCAGCAGATCATCTTTCACGTGGTATTTCACCAGCAGAGCTCTCCACCTTAGCATTGTGATGGGAAGCACCACCTTGACTAACGCAACCTCAAGATGTTTGGCCTACGAAATCTCTATCGATGAACCATCATCCTTCGCTGAAGTAGAAACAAAGAAAATAAAATTCCAATCTCTGTATACGACTACGTTTAATTCTGTCATACATTTTACTCGAAAATACCTTATAAACCAAGGTGGGGAGAATTTTCCGGCCTCTCGATATTCAACCACGTGACGTCAGTCACGATTTTTCTACGCGCGGAGTTTGATTTAAATTTTTAATCTTGTAGCACAAATTTGTAAGAATGAAATCTTTATGTTTAGGTCAATTGCATGTATAATAACGAAAATAAAATGTGTATACAAACGCAATAAAGAGTTTTGATTATTGGATATAAACGCGTTGATATGTTGCATTTTTATAACTTGCACATTGTTAAAATTTAAAGAAAACTGAATAGCCATTTTATATGTTAAAAGCACATATCATATTATTATGTGCTTGTCTAAACCCTAGAATTTTGTAGTTTGAAAGTATTCTCTTAAATAAAAGGGAGTACATTGCAATGAAATTGATAACTGATTCAAGAAATGCGAAAGTTATGTCATGGTTTCATTTTAAATATTTTAAATGATTTGATTGAAACAACTGTGCTTAAAATATTTTCTTTGTCATATGTATTGTGAAGTTACGCATGCAGAACAAATTCTGCTGTTTATAAGTTTAGAAAGTGTCATAATATTAGTTTTTTAAAATGCGATAAGGAAAACAGTAAGTTCTGTAATATTCAAGCTATTGTAAGATATTAAAATACATCTTCAAAAATAAACTATATCTAATTTAAATATTTTTGCAGAATAAAGCTCATAGTTCTTATCTTGTGTTGCTATTTATTAGATGATGCTCTTTAAATGTTACTTTATCATATAATTTTTATTAAATATTTATTTTTTGAAAGCAGTTTCAAGTAATGATAACGGATATCAACTTGATAACTGATAACCGAAATTGGCACAATGTATATTATCGACTGGGCACTTTAAATTTAAATTTCCTGAAAAGTGTGCATTAAGGTCAGTTTTATTAGAGATATATAATAAAAATATGGATTCTAATTTCTCTGCTTATAAAAGAAATCTAAACGATTTATCAGAAAACATAATCAAAGTATGCTACTGAAAATTTTGTAAACCAGTTTATAAGAAAGAACCATATCAATAAAGCGTATTAATTATTTTCTGAATTTTACTAATTGCAGATTTAATTTTACAAGCTTGTAAGGATTATGTTAATTTTATTAACAGTTAAATTTTGAGTTAAGCTTCCTTTCCTATCGACTCTTAATTTCAACTTACCACTTCCGGCCAGAACGTAGTTTTAGAATCACGTCTGAATGCTAATGAGGAAAGGAGCGGTATTTAAAACGCGAAGTTCTTCTGGTCTTTAGCGAGAGAGATTAGCCAGGTATTCTGTCTGCACGCGTCTGCCTTTTTATGCTAATCTCTCGTAAGCTATTATTACGCTTTGTCCGTACTTTAGGCCCTTGCTACCTTCGCACTCAATTAGCATTAAGAGGCCAACTCTGTTAAGGGGCCAATTCGGTTAGATATCTTCGACTATATTCGGCTAGTATCTAAGATTAGGTTATAGTTAGTTTTAGTTTACTTCTTAGTCCTCTTAAGCTTCAAGCCCAAGTGTTGACTTTTATTATACACTCCAAGTGTCGGCTTTTATTGTACAACTCCAAGACGGAGTTTTGTTAAACTTTAGTTGGAATAATAAAGGGTTATTTCACCCTTCTTACTTGTTTTTTTCTATCTCACGAACTCAAGCGATTATTCGCTTACTAGTTCTTAAGGTTCTTCACTTTCAACTGTGACTTAGAAATACACAGTGGAGAATCCTACAAGCTTTTTATATTAATTGATAAGATATATCATTTAAAGATAATTTTTAATTGTAAACTATGAATGGAAAATTTCTGATTTAAGAATTTTCTTTTGGATTTAATCAACTGCTTACAGAAAACGTGAAATGCTGGACTACTGTGAAGTCTGTAATAACCTTTATTATCGCATAACAGCGATATTAAAAATACTAACTAAGCCTTCGCACTAAAATTGAATAGGGGTTATTCATTTCAGTTAAAGGTTGTCCTTCACACTAAAATTCAATAAAACGGAATTCCGTACATATTCCCCATAATAATGCTGTTAAAAAGATTTAGGAACGCACAAACAAAGGGAAAAAACAGCATTGGAAAATCCTATTCTCTTTGTAAGGTAACACTGTTGTTCATGCAGTATGAAATGTAAATATAAGTTTCAGAAATTAATAAAAAAATTGTGGAATTCGATTAGTTTCAATTATGAAAGGAATATTTCTTTGTGCCATTAATTAATGAGACATCTTGACATTATATCTTGAAATGAATAAAAATTGACAATTTATGTAAAGTTCCCATAGAAGCAGATAATTAAAATAATGAATGCTGTAGACAATTCATGTTGTGAGAAAACATGGGAGAAAAGGACAGGGAATTTGAATAACAGTTAAAAGGAAGTGTTTGATAAAATGAAAAATATTCAAAACTGAGACATGAGCAAGAAAAGCAATGTATGTTCAGTAGAAATAAATAATATTTTACTCTACCTTGATTTATCAGGTGGTTTTATACAAATCTGTAGACAGAACTACAAATTTAACATGTGTATTAGATTAGAGAATTTTTATTTCATAACGGATTGTTGAAAGAAAGGGAACTCATGCGAAATCTGTTTTCTAAACTTAATAAGTTTTCATGCGCAGAAATAATGAAATCCAAACAATAAAGAGTTGTTCATACTGATGCTTATATTTTTAGTTAATTATATTGTATGCTGTAAGATCTGAACATGTCTGAAGCTTTTATTTAAGTTCATTGTTATCTAATTAACAGTTTGTTAAAATGTGTAGTTTTGTATTAAATATGCATTTTATTCAGATGTTTAGAATAACAAGTAAGTAGATACGTCCAAATTTAGCAACACAATGGATTAAAAAATTAAATAATATTTTAGTAAACACAATGGTTTAATAAAACGGACTATATTTACAAAAAGGCGTTATAAACAGCTTTTGCAACTATTCCAAAGAGATAAATTGCAGATCTTAAGGTATTAGTTCTGTAGTTTAACTTTTTAATGTTCGAAATTCGCAGAAATGTAGATTCAATAAAGCGTCACTAAAACGTCACTATAAGACGTCGGTTCAAGCTAACATCCTACGTTTTTGCGACGAGAATGTGGTATGTAAAGACGCGAAAGCAACGTCTTTGCGTACAAAAAAAAAAAAAAAAAAAAAAAAATGAACGTAAAGACGTGAAATCGACGTTTTTGCGACGGTCGGAAAAAGAATGGAATTTCGTCTACATTTGGGTGTCTTAAAGATGACATAATACAATGTCTTCGCAACATCATGTGCGACGAGATTGCTATGTCATTACGACGTCATTGTGCTACTTGTGATCCCTCAATATCTTTCTGAGTATTTCATATTTTCATATTCAAGCTAAAGAAATTTGTTTGTGTATTGTCAAAATTAAAACTTCGGATAGCCCCTTACATGACGGATTAGTTAAATATATCAAAAATAATGCTTCTCTTCAGAAAAATATGTATTGCTTCAATACATATGTCACGCAATGATAGATAATTTAGTGACTTAGGTTGAAATTAATTTTGATGTTGCAGAATATTTCTAATCAATAAGGTAATGAAAATTCATCGTAAGATTTTTGTTTCTGAACATTTTTTTCCAATCTAGAAATTTAAATATGGCTTACTTGTAAAGGACTATGAACAGCTTGGAAAGGTAGGTAAAGAAATAATGGCACTTCTGGGTTTGATTTAGACAAGAGATCCGTCACAGCTTTCTTCATAACATCCTAAAAATAAATGAAATTCATTTCAGAGAAGATCGGAAAAATCCATGCAAATACATGCTTAACTTCAAAGCAAGTTATCAACTGTAATATATCCTTTCTAAGACCATCTCCCATAGTATCAAACCATTTTGGTCCCCTGTGGAAGTAGTCTTCTTACAGAACACGATTGTTGGTGATATTCGGTACAGACGTTTGATTATGTTCTTAGACATCTACAATCTAGATATTCACTGAAGGTGGTCACCACCAAGGATGGATGGAGAATTCGGGAAAATTTTCGAGAAGACGTGCGTGAGATGCTGCTTTGTTGCCTGATATGCTTTGTTGCCAATGATTTAAAAATATGAAACTTAACATTACTGTAGAATTCATACATCACATAAAATATTCAGAAAAATACTCGAAGACATTCTAAATAATGCAAAATGAACTAATGGTAATCATATTAAATTCACCCTTTTAACCCTGTCTTCATTTTTGAAAGTCACAATTTTTGGATTTAATATTTTATTCTATTGCATAAAAGCAAGGAATTTCCATGTCCCGGATGATTTCATAAAGTGTTATAAAGATGCCGGCACCTATATAAGAAGCAACTATTCATCAAGATTAAGACCTTCACATGGGTATTCCGGTAGCCTTGATGAGGGTTGCCTTCTTTAGAAAACATAACTTCATAAGAGTTCCAGCACCCTTGTATACTATTAGCAAGATGATGCCAACGGGAGAACATGCCAGCAACGTTTTGGATGATGGAAACCTTGGCCTCTTCCCACTTGCCCGTGCCATTTAGACCAACCACATCCGCCACTGATAGCCATGAGAAGTTTCACTGCGTATTTTAGTAAAGCATCAGATACTGAGATTAACTAGGATATATAGCGTTAGAAATGCAAGAATGAAGCTAATAATATATATGTGTCACATTGGAAATTAAAAGTGCGCTCAAACAAAGTTCATAACACTGTAGAGTGCCACATTTTTCTATAATCCATTGATAGTCGCAAGGATATATGTTTATATTTTGTAAACATTTTCGCAATTCCATCAGCAGATTCCCGGTTTAATCAATGAACCTGAACTAAAGATTAACAGGTTAATGGACGATAAGCCTACACAATCAGTATATACAGATTGGATTACCATGCATTTTTGATGAGCTAAGTTTCCACCTTTATTTTAACTGCCCGATATAAAATAAAATATTTAATAAAATAATTGTAATAAATTAGTAAATAATAAAAAATAAACCATCGCTATTTAAACTATTTTAGTCTTTGAGAAGAGCAATTTCGTAATAAATTCCCTAAAATTAAATATTTGCATGCCTTTCGACTTGCAAAACTTTGCTCTTAAAACTCTGAGAAAGTTGCTGAATATAAAAGTTCTGAATTTTAAAGTATTCAATAAACAACATATTTTTCCGGAATGTTAAAAAATTTCCAGTTTTCAAGTGAAATTAATTCCTTTCTTAAAATAACGGGTGGCCATAATTAAACTGACAGTGCCCACAGTGATCTGTAGCGCGATCTATTTGTGAGAATGACGCCACATTTTGTAGGAAGATTAAACAAGACGGGAGACGAAGGATTCCGCGAAAAAAAAATATTAGTTCCAAAAGTCACCGCTAGGGGAATATTTGGCGCTGTGTAATAGAAAATAGAGTGTTCACAAATGCAAATAAATACGGTTGCATTCAAATGAGGTTCAATGTGGCTGCCGTTGTTGTGGACTACATATTGCATTCCGTGCACAGTATGCACAACAGCAGAAAGTAACATGTCTGCAGGAATCTCCCGTACAGTCCGTGATATGTTATCCTTCAACGTAGCCAGGTCCTGGACCCCTCCTTGATAGGCCTTGGACTTAAGGTAACCCCATAGCCAGAAGTCGCATGGGGTAAGATCAGGCGACCGAGGTGGCCATGCAGTTGGAAAGTAGCGGCTAATGACTCTTTCTGTTGTGAATTTCTGTCGTAGCATCTGTTGCACCACCCGTACAGCAACGTGTGGAGGGGCTCCATCTTGCATGAAAATGATTTCCCCCAGGCATTGTCTTTGCTGAAGTGCCGGAATGACAAAGCTGTTCAACATGTGGCGATATTTCTCTCCGGTAACAGAACAGGTTTCCGGTCCTGTCGGGGTAATGTTCTCATAGAAGAATGGACCTACGATAAATTCCGCTGTGAACCCACACCAAACAGTTACCTTTGGTGAATGTAAGGGAATTGCTGTGACTGCATGTGGTGATTTGTCATCCCAAGTTCGGCAGTTCTGGGTATTCACAGTTCCATTCAGGTAAAAGTGGGCCTCGTCTCCCCATAAGATCATCCATCACGGCTAAGCATCACGGCCAAGCATCATCCACCTCCATTCTGGCAAGAAAGGTGAGAGCAAAAGTCAATCGCTTATCATGGTCGGGGTACAGTAACTTCTGTACACGGCTGATCTTGTACGGATAGAAGTTGATAAACTTTCGTAAGATTTTCCATACCGTACTGTAAGGCATATTCCATATTCCATAAGGCAAATCCATAATAAAAGGTAATTTATTCCGTATTAATTTGTATTTGTTAACACTCTATTTTCTATTACACAGCGCCAAATATTCCCCTAGCGGTGACTTTTGGAAACTTTTTTTTTTTTCGGAATCTTTCGTCCCCCGTCTTGTTTAATCTTCCTACAAAATGTGGTGTCATTCTCGCAAATAGATCGCGCTACAGAACACTGTGAGCACTGTCAGTTTAATTATGGCCACCCGGTATGTGGATAATATGGTCACTTTACTTAACCTGTTCCGCCAAACTGAGTTAATGGCACTACAGGGTTAGGAAGTTATCCTATTCATTGCTAGCAATCTGACGGTTAGGCCGCCTTTCTACATTTTACTTTAATCTGTAGTTTCTTGGATATAATTATTTTCATTCACTTGCTTCATTATCTCTAAGATGCCCTTGTTGCAGTAATAGTCCGTGAACAGTCTATTCACAGGATATGTGATGTAGTCGGAAGGAAAGAACTGCTGTCGAAGGTGCTCTGTCAGAGGGCAGGAGAGCAGGTAATGAAGTGCGTCCGCGTCTTCCCCGCGAAAAACCGCAAGAACAGTTGACGTCCCGTCTGAGGAAACGTCTGTAATACGCTGGGAATTTCCCGTGGTTGGTACAGGCTTGGAGGAAGAGTCGGTTGCATTTCAGCCTCTTGAGAGAAGGTATTGGGAAGATGTTGTAAGTAAATCTTCCTGTCTCTTCTTCCTGCCATCGTGATGCCCATGTCTCTTGAAATGCTGTCTTGAGGAGCCTTTTTGCAACTTCTGCGGAAAGCGGAACTTCCTTGTCAATTTCTGGTTTGAGAGCTGCAGTCTTAGCTAGTTCATCCGCTCGTTCGTTGCCTTTCTGCCCGGTATGTCCTTTTATCCAGTTGATCTTTAAAGGTATGGAAGAGCCTAACGTCAAGAAGATCTCTCTAAGTGCTGCCGTGTGCGGATGTTTTGGAGGAAAGGAATTCAGCGCATTCAGAATGCTCATGCTATCTGTGAAGAATGAAGTGTGAGCTGCTGGTTGTGTACCTAACCATAGTGCTGCTTCTTTGAGTGCTAGGGACTCGGCTTGGAAGACTGACTGAAGCATGATCGCTTAGACGGAATTGTGCTTGATAAATTTCTTCATTGTTCGAAAAGACCGTGAACGCTGCCCCTACTCGTCCTGAAATTTTTGAACCGTCAGAAAAAATCTCTCTTTGTTGTCCTGAGGGTGGCGATTTGCACCAGGAAAGGATGGGTAGATCTCCTGGGTGTAAGTTAGGGGAATCTTGGAAACTTTCTATGCTGGCATATGATAGATGTAAATCTTTTTTAGTGTGAAGGTCCTCTTTGTAATGTAGGAAAAATAAGAATGTTCCTGTAAAAATGTTCTGTAAGAAAGTAGAAAAACCTGAAGTTAGTGAGAAAATTTACTTATTTTACTTCACATTTATGACTTATGATTAATTTCGTTCTTGCACAGATTTAAAGACAGAAATTGATAATTGGTTAAGTTTTGCTTGGCGTTAATTTCAAAAGAAAGGACTCATTTCAAAATGCAAAAACGGGTCTGTTTTCTTCAGAAACAATGTGTTTAAGCATAGAAATTCAATTTCCATTAAGTATGTAACATATATAATTAAGATTTAGCGCTATTTATTGAAAAAATAGCAAAAGGGGAAATACACCTTTCTTTTTGAAGTGAAAGAAAACCATGAAATAAATTTTTATTTGCATAATTTTAAAGCAAAACACTTAAGCTATTTTTGTTTGTTTTTACTTCATTAAAATTACCCCCAATTTTTTTTTTCATTCAAACAAAACCTCAAAATTAATTCTTTTTAGCTAATACTGAGCTGGCCTTGTTTGTTTAGTATATGTTTAGAAAACGAGCAGTTATTATGGTTGAGCAATGGCTCTCAGATAAAAGTCTAGTCTAGCTTAGAGTAATATTATTAAAAGAATTAGTTCTGAGCTTTTATTTGACGAAAACAGAAAGTAATTTTAGTCTGTACAATATGTAACTGTCTTCCTAGTAACGCTTATTAAGAGATAGAACACGGCGACATGTTATTAAATTAAGTAAGATGAATGTGTGATATGGTTAATGGCTTCTATTATAAACGTTTCCTCAAGTCAATAAATAAGTTATTCACATGTATAAGGAATTATCTTAATCTCAGTTGCGTGCTTTCGTGTTTTAAGTGGTAGCATACCCAGCTAGAAGTCGGAAGTTCCGTGATTCCAATCCTGGTGAGAGAACAGCTGATGTGTCATGTTTCCTGCTGTTTTCGTGTTTTCTAACTCGTGTACACATTCATCTAAATGAATGTAATAATATCTTCAAAGTATACATCATAATATATTGTCTTTTTTGTGCTACTTAATTTAACGAAATAATTAAAAAAACTGTTAAGAGCAAGATTAAATTTATGCCATGAAAAATGTAGAAGTATTTCAGGTGGAATCTGGGTGGAAATTCT